TGCTGGACATCGAGGCCTCCCTGGTGATGTGAACCCTCCTCCAAACAGACCTGTCCTTATCTTGGTTGACTTCTCTCCCTTACAGGCATTGACTCACCGAAGCGAACCTGACCGTGAACACTACATGGCTCTGGTGAACTCCAATTTTAGACATGTCAGTGGCTTTGAACTTGCAGCTTTGTTTACCTGGTCACGTCAGATGGAACCAGTTGAAGCCGGCCTCATCCCAATTGCCGAACTCCGCTTTTGTATCTCCAAAAGATTGAGGTCCCAATGGGACATCCAAATTGATCCCTCGAACCTGGAGTTTCGCTTTTGCGACTTGGACGGTGATACATTCCAAGTTTCCAATGATATGACGGTCTTGCAGCTTTTGGAGGCATACCGACCTGAGTGGCGACTTCGGCAGTACAATTCCCGCGAATCCTCTTTCCTCATCCCGGGTACCAGACAGCCTTTCGTACTACGCTTGAAATGCTACAAAATTAGCTCCGGTGTGATCCTGCCCTGATGCACTAGCCGGCCAAAAAAGACCATGCTACAGGGTTTTCAATTCCTCCTTGACACCCCACTAACACAAAGGATTTTTCGATTTCTATTTTATTTGACTTGGAGCTGTGGCTTCTCCGTCGCAACTGACCCACTTGATTGAGGACTGGATTTCACTTTTTTCATTTTTGTGAATATTATCAATTTCGGGATTGGCTTTCTTCTGCAATTCTTGATGCTTCAGCCGTTGTTGCACTATTTCTCGCATTTGTGACAGTTTCACCCATGGAACACAAACGAGACGCGACCGTGGCGGGCTTGTCTTGGCCTGCGAACTCTACTCGTGGACTCGCTCCTACCGACCCAGTTCAAGTACCAGACGCCTCGACTTCTGCACTATGTCACTCAGGAGCTCCCGACACTACGACCAACCCTACTCCGGCACCTTTGGTAACTGACAGTACGGCACCTGCTACGGGTACACTGGCCCATTCTGATACATATTCAGGACCAGCACCTCCTGGCGTTCCATTTCCGACAGACTCAAGTTCTACACACAACTACTTCCATCGTGCTCAGTTCTCTTCTCGCGTGGTTCACCAGATCCAATTCAAGGTCATTACCCACTCCAACAACACCAGGGAGCTATTCATTGAAGAAATTCCTTTGTTAGGGCATTCCCGATGTCGTGACCCTGAACACTATTTCTATGGTCTCTCCGGCAACTGGGAGTGGTCCCTGCGCACAGCGGACTATTGGCGACATCATTTTGAGATTCCCCTTGTACATGGACACCATCCTTTTCACAATGTGCCCATTGAGACGACATCTCCTGGAGATGAACCAAGGCTGACCACCCGGATCCATGAATTAGCCAAAGATCTATCTGACACCTTGAAGGCTGCTACGGCATCGGGGGAATTCGATCAGACTTGGGCGATGGTTGAACGCATGAGCTTCCACGATGCTATGGAAGTCCTTCTACAAGCTCCGAATTCCTCTTCTGACTGAAGTGACCGCCCTTTTGTACATTAGGTTATTACAGGTTCACTTTCACTGGTGTCTTGCCGATTCCGCCAGCGAAGTTCTTCCAAAAAACCGACCTCGCTACATGCGAGGTGTGTGTGTGTACCATCTGAACAGATGTAAAACTTCTGATTGGTTTTCACTAATTTGCAGGGGGGTGCAGAGCACAGTGGAGACTGCACCCAACGAAGCTATCCACTTGTGCTGGAAGCAGAGTCTGATCAACTCTGTGTACCTGCAAAATTTGGTTTCAACTGTTGATCAAGCTGTTACACTGCGTTGTTTCGAATCTACACGGTTGCCACAATCTGTATTGCATGCATCAGAACCTTCCTCAGATTTTCGCCGAAACCATATCGCCGACAGTATTATGTTTTTTGACTTATTTTCGCCGAGACCCTGTCGCCGACGAACTATGGGTTATTTTGGGAAACAATCGCCGAAACATTATTTTGGATTTCCACATGCTGGTCAAAACTCTATGGAATCTGGTTATGACTACGTTTGACAATTTCGGATGCCCTACATCGTTTGCGAGAAGTACCTCATGTGGCTCTTTTATTCATCTAATAATCTAGGCTGGTTTGCATGTTTCAGGATTCAGTTCCTGCCGGATCATATAATGATCCATTCTTGTCTAGTGTGTGTGTCATTATGTGTCATTGGCTAAACATGGCTAAACGGAATTGCACCGAATTTGATGCAGTTGCAGAGCAACTGAGGTCCCAATACATATATATATATATACTGGTTGGTGGTGTAGTTTCAACCCCTCTGAAAAATATGAGTTCGTCAGTTGGGATGATTATTCCCAATATGATGGGAAATTCATTCAAAATTCCATGGTTCCAAACCACCAATATCCACCAACCAGATATATACTAGAGATATATCCCAGTGATGGCTCAGAGATCATCGCAACGCCAGATGGAAATCGCAACCGTTGTACATCCGTCTTTTTTATCAAGGATGGCGATGGAACATCCTCTGTAGATGATGTTCCCAACTAGAAACCTCCATTTAGCCTCTAGGTAAACTAAACTTGAAAATGGCCCAGTCGAAATAGTTGATTTACCATGATTTACCCATTAGAAATGGTGATTTTCCATAGTTTTTTGTATGTTTACCAAGGGGTAGTGCTTGGATTCCCCGGCCACATTTGATGAAATTGGATGAAATTGGATGAAATTGGAGGGTACCAGCTTTTAGCGCCTCCAAAAGTTTGGTCTCCTAACGTATGGGAAAAAAAAACATGTTGAGGTCGCCAAGTCACATATGCATCATCCTGAAGAATCAGCTTATCCCATATTGAAAGAAAAATATTGATATCCCCACATTTTATTCATGTGTGTGTCATTCACAACTTCAATGGTTGCTTAAACTAGGCTACAGAAATGGAAGCTTCCAATCCATGGGGGTACCCCTGAATCATCCAGTCGTCATGGATGACCAGTTTCCTGTATTGAACAAGTATGGTGACTTAGGTATCCCCCATGACTTAAGAATCACCACATGGCTTTTATATGCTCTTATCATCCAATGTGAATAAACATGAATAAACCAATTCTTGATGATTCGTTTGGGGGTTTTGCTCCACTCGTTTTTCTTCCAAACGAAGCCACTGAACATATATATAATGGATATTCAAAATGGAATGTAACAGATATAATAACATATAACCATCACCAGTAACAATATCTGTTCTGATGATATCATATTCATGATCTATGGAAAATTATCCCATCTTATCTACATTCAATAAGCTGCGGACTATGGGTATATCATAACTTGTCCCTCGCCATGGTCCCTCGGTGCCACAGCGTAGCCACGCCTGTCCAGCTCGCGGGAGACCTCCGCCAAGGTCCGTTCGCAGCCTTTGAAACTCAACAGGCGAGCCGCCTGCGAGAGCGAACCGCGCTGAAGCTGAAGCGGCGCAAGCGCCGATGTTTTTCGTCTTTGTTGGGGAGATAAAGATAGGATGATAGGATGATAGGATGGGGAGATCCATCCAACAAATTGTGATAACTATATGATAAATAACATATTTTAACATGACTTAACTGTCACTAACATTCACAATCGAACGAACGAACGAACTAAGGGATCTGTAGAAGCATCAAAACTGATAATTTAACTATGGGAAAAATTGAGTATTTGATGGGAACCAAGCAACTTGATATGATATTTGGGACTGTTCAAAAAAACCGGGCCTACCAATCACAAATATGAAGGGCAGTGTTTATAAAAACCCATTATTCTAATATGCAAAAAGGATACTTAAATATGATGAGATATGTCAACCATGTGAAAAGCAGTCAAAAATCAGCTATGGTGAACTCACAGCGCAGAAATGATCCAATGAATTGCTTGACGTTGAAACATGGCCAATCAGCCAGATACCCTGCAAAAAGTTATACACTCTTAGCGAGTGAACGTAGATAATCCCATTGATACCAAAAGACTAGTTAGGATTAAGGTACCCAAGATTGAGCTAGGAAAGCGGCCACCAGACATTTTCTGTTAGCTCAATGGACCCTACCCTTGGAAGATTTCCAGTGGAACAATTTTGGAAGGTGAAAAGTCCCTGGCAAGAAATCCAACATGTTGAACAAAAAGTGCTGAACACATGAGATTTCTCATGTTGGCAAAAACATGAGAAAACAAAATACATCAAAATACCATTTGGCTTTGAGCAGAACTTAGATGATCTTAGATGCATCATTTGTGAATCAAGTGAATCTTAGGTGCGTTGAAACTTCCGTTTCCAAATTTTCATGGCCATCAACCATGGCCAGAAAAAACATCCAGTCTCCCCAGCAAAATATGTCATCCGGAACATGGAGACAGAGCCTTGTGACAAGCCCAACGAAACAAAGCCACAGCATTTTGTTGATCAAATATCGCAGCGGGTCTCCCCTTTTTATTTTCATGGTTGGTTTCTACGATCATGGAAACTCACCTCGTAGCTAGAAGGGGAATATGGAGTTTAACCATAGCTCTGTTGACAGCTCCCTGAATTCAAAATCGAGTAATATAGGTTTTATTCATCCCCAATGAACCAATCCTCATTCATATCAATTCATATCATTGACTTATTGTCAGTCACTATTTATCTATATATATATATTTATCTCCATTAACCCTCATCTGTGAATGCATACTTCCCATTCGTGGTTCTTTACTTCTGATACGATATTCCCATATCAATCCATATCCTTACAGAATCATGCCCTACAACGGTTAAATCCCCATTGATCCCTATTTGTTCCCCATTGATCTGGGTAAATTATCATATTTCACTAACCTGAATTAAGGCCCATGAAAGGGGATGATTTCCAATATACCCTCTGGTGAACTAACATAGCAATGGAAAATCACCATTTTTAATGGGAAATTCCACTATAAATGGCCATTTTCAATTGCTATGTTAGTTCACCAGAGGGTATTAACTTATATAACTATGATTTCCAGGGCTCGGTCGTGATCTAATTTACCCAGATTGATCCCACTGATCCCCCGCAGATCCCCCGCAGCTCCTCGCTGCGATCCCACCATTGATACTGCCACATGGCGCCAGGTAAACGCCGATCGGGCACAGAGAACCTGGTGACATCTGGTGACGCTCGGTGCTGTTTGATCGAAAAATGGATTAATATGATTAAGATAGGTCAACAAATGTCAACAAATGTCAACAAATGTCAACAACGATCTTGGAATTGGGACTTAACTTCTGTTTGAAATTTGGAGATCTTTTTGGGTGGCAATTGGATTTGACAACGATCTTTGAAATTTGGAATTGGGACTTATCTTTCAAGAACTTTTATAACATGTTCTTGGCAACGTGGAAGACTATGCTGGACTTGGATCAATTTGGTTTATCATTTCAGCAGTACGTAGCTCCGGCTGAGGCTCCGTGCTCTGTGAGACTCGCACAGTGCATAAAGCCCAGCGTTGTGGGTTTCTGCACAGGGAGAACAGTTGTGCCGTTGTGCTGTTGTCACGCCAGAAAATCCAGCGGAAGTGTGAATTAAAATGTATCATAAATATTGTGTATATATATATCATAAATATTATATATAATATATATTATCTGATTGTATATGATTATATATGGTTTCCTCTCAAAAACTTGCCGTGTTCCCCATGGTCCCCATATGCCCCGCACCAGATCACACCCGTCACACCTGGCCGTGCTCATTGCTCAGCCGTTCCACAAGCTCACGACGTCGTTCTGTCACCTCAGTCGAAGCATCTGTTGGTCAATTTGTTGTGCCACAGAATATTTCAAAGTGTGTTCCATGAATACAAGACCAAGATACCCTCTGGTAAACTAACATAACTATGGAAAATCACCATTTTTAATTGGAAAATCCACTATAAATCACCATTTTCAATAGCAAACTGTTAGTCATTCCCAGAGGGTAATACTTTTGGCTATGTGACATGTGGGTCAAAACTTTGGTTCACCAGGATTGTTCACCAGGATTGTTCACCAGGATTCTTCAGGATGTTCATCCCACGTCAGACTTGACGGAAACCGGTGGGCTCCAGTGGCTCCAGACACTGTGATTCTGCTCTTCGTGCTGGAAAGGATGCACCTGCCATGCTGACCCAGTCATGTGCCACGTGCCAGTCATCTGCCTTCTGCCAGCCAGAAATGGTCTCAGAGATTGTTGGCGTTGAAACTATGTTGAAACAAAAATCATAAGACCTTTGGTTACCCTCTGGTAAACATACAAAAAACTATGGAAAATCACCATGCTATCAATGGGTAAATCAACTATAAATGGGCCATTTTCAACAGCAAACTGTTAGTTTATTTGTGTCAGACTTGGAGGTTGACCTCGAAGTCAGAGATTTGAACAAACCGGCTCCACCGGCTCAACCGGCCCAACCTCATCAGGAAAGCGGCCTGGCAAAATGTGTCAAGTCTGTGGATCAGACCGGGGCCCCTGGTGAACATGAAAACAGCTGCTATGTGGCTTCATCCATAAAGAATATGGTATAGCTAACTTGGTGCGTCCCCATAAACATACCTTGACCCTCAGTTGATCCATCATAAGTTGAAAAAAAGATCAACAAAAGGGCTAGAATATAAGCTGAGCAAACTGAGAGTCTAGATATTTCAACAGAAGTGACTGGAACTCATACTTCCTCCGCACGATTTGTTTTGATGTTCTCATTCGGATGTAGCCGCAGTCTTGAGGCCACCCTAGGAATTGCTGCGGAGGTATGGTGATACATGCCACCATGAGAATCCCTATGAATGCATTGATGACCATTCCCCAAGATGAACCATGAGCAATTTCCATCAATTTCCCCAAGTTTCGACCATGGCCCGCTGGCCATGCTGGCCATGAGTGCGTCTCGCCGCGTCTCGCACCTTCTTTTGAGTCGCTCCTCTGTTTGGGGGTGATGCCATCGTCAGTTTGATGAAGCCAACCATGAACCTAAGCAGCAAAGCAGTGCAACAGCTTTCACTTTGGTGGTCTTGCAGAGAGGCAACCACGGAATCACCAGGGCATTAGTAGGGACAGTAGGGACTCTGCCATGATCTCATCAGCGGAAGCTCGCTGTAGTTCATCTTTATGCAGCATGATGCTGATGAAGTCTTGGCAAAGAGGCTCTAACCTGGTGAAGGCCAGGCAGAATCCCACTGAAGCGGCTGTTTTTAACGGACAAGTTCTCCCACTTTTTGGACCCCAAATGCTGAAAAACTCATGGCGAAAAATGAGGTTTTAAATAGTTTTAAAGTATCCCCTGGTAAATTAACATAGACCCTGAAAATCACCATGTTTTAATGGAAACTAGTCTTCCACCCCCTATCTGCCAGGGTCTATGTTAATTGTTGCGGCTTTCCCACAGTTTTCAGACGATCCTGGACTTACCCTCCGGTGATTTAACATGGCGCCATGGAAATTGCTCGGATTTTACCCATGAAAAAATGATGATGTTCCATAGCAAACTGCTACCATCCCAGGGCCCAAGGCTGGCAGAAGGCCCGTGCGACTGATATGACTTTGAATACCCGGCCTGGTAAACGTTTACATAACTGTGGAAAATCACCATGTTCAATGGGTAAATCCACTATAAATGGGCCATTTTCAATAGCAAACTGTAACAAATTACCAGAGGGTAGAGCTACCCCATGTGCCTCTTAGGGAACTTGGGCTCCTTCGTCTTGATGCAATTCTCATCCTGACGCCAAAGTGAACAGAAGGTCAGAAGCGAGGAGCCAAAAGCCGTGTGGCCAACCCAATCAGAAGAAGAATGATGATGAAAATGATAATCATAATGAATTATATAAGTATATGACGTGCTTTTACTATCAGAAATCATGTACCATCTCCATTTTTACCAGAAATTGGTGATATTGACTCTCTCCAATTAAAGGTTTTGTGGCATTGGCTTCACCAAGGAAATTCAAGGAAATCTCACACACACGTCTGCAAACTTGTGGTGCAACAAGGGCACTGCCTGTGTACGTCATATGCGCATCATAAATTCTGGGTACACAAAGCATGTTCAGAGACGCCAACATCATCTTGTTGGCTATACAGTATATCATAAATCAGCATTACCATCTGGTTATCTAACAGTTTGCCATGGAAAGATTCACCATGCTATTAATAGGTAAACCATCTATTTCTATGGGTCATTTTCCATGGCAAACTGTTAAATAACTAGAGGGTAGATCCCAAGAAATCACGTTGATGACTGCGATCCTTGAACGGAAATCGCCCATCCAACAGGCCGTACATGATGATGCCCAGGGCCCAAATGTCAACCTCCAAGTTTCGCAGCATCAAATCGCACCACATTCCGAAGATCCCAATGCTTAAAACAAGAAACTGGAAAAAATATGGAAAAGTCTAGAATTAAGTTGCAATCTTAGTATTTCTCATTGCCTCTGATTGCAAGCTTTGTTGGCCTATGTTGGCCTGCATGGCACAACTTGGCCTTAAGGCCATAGTCCTTCGCAAAAATCTCCGGCGCCCAGAAAATCCTGCGGCCCCGAAGTTCGTCATTCCCAGTTCATGGACGATCAACGCAAGCAGGAAACAAAAATCGCCTTCTGAAACCAGGGTTTCCCAAATGTGAAATCCCATGAAATCCCATGAAATCAACTAATCATCTGCCAAGTAGACTTTCCTGATGGTTGAAGCCGAAAAATGATGCTTAAATCTCATTCAAGTCCCAATATTGCCGATATTGGATGGTATGCTCCTTAAAAAAAACATCAACCAACTACATCAAAAATGATGGTCGTAAATCATCTACCCATCATTTATCAACTACATCCATTTGATTGCTATAGCCATGTTTACATCATGGTTATATCCATCTTGTATCCCGATGAAATAGGCGCCGTATCCCGTTTTCAAAGCCAAAAAAACACCATGATGGTTGATACATCTCCAATATATTCCATATGATATTCTTAAGATCCTTATCCCGAAATATTTGTTGGTTAACCAACCATGGCCTCAATTTCCATGAACCCTGTCATGAATTTAAACATATTTAAACCTGCTATCCCCAGCTAGTTGAAGCCCTGTAAATCTCGAAATTTTGTATCCTCAAAAAAACATTCACTGTCATTGACCATCTGTTTTTCCGTGAACCCATGGGATCTGGGTAAATTATAATATTTCACCAACCTGAATCTTGCGGCCATAAAAGGGGATGATTTCCCGCAATCTAACCATGATTCCAGGGCTCGGTGAACAGGGCTCGGTCGTGATGAAATTTACCCAGATGGATTGTATCCTCAAAAAAACATTCACTGTCATTGACCATATGTTTTTCCATGTGTGTTTCCATGAAACCATGGATGTCTCCATGAAAAATCCCATGGGAATCTTCCCATCGAAAAAAAGACCGTCCTGGTGCCGACCTCGGAGCTCAAGCGACGACCGTCGCGCAGCAGCTCCGCTGTACCTGGGTAACACCCTGGGGCCCTGGGAGATGTTGGAAAACCATAGGAAAACCATAGGAAAATGGTGGTTTAATGGGATTTAATGGGATTTACCATCTGGTTATTTAACAGTTCGCCATGGAAAGATCCACCATGCTATTAATAGGTAAAGCATCTATTTCTATGGGCCATGGCTTCCATGGCTATGTTAAATAACCAGAGGGTACATAAAACAGGGGGAAACTAAAAATGAAACTTTTCGGGTATCCAATTTGATCTTGGGAAAATCCCGATGCGCCGATTTGGGGTGTAGCCTAGTTGGAGCATCACCCCACTTCGCAAGTGGTCAATAACCCTGGTAGTTACTAACCAGTTTCTAACCAGTTTCTAAATGGGCTGATCCTCCAAGTATTCATCGGATTTCATCGGACAAATCCAAGACTGGCACTGGCAGAACTTTTTCGGAGCGTCTCTTAAGCTCTACAGAAGGTGACGCTGAATGGACCTCTTTAAGGTGGGCCTGGAGCGCCCGGCCCGGCTTGCGCCCATGCCAAGTACATGGGCTGCGCTTGCATTAACGCAAAACGAGCCACAGCCTCGTGGCTGACTTGTGTCATATCTTTAAAGCAAAAGAGAAATGATCCAATGATTTCCAATGAATTCGTAACTTGCATCTTTCTGATGACGAAAAGCTGGCGTGTAGAGAAGGAGTCAGATGGCGGATTGTATTTCCAGTGAATCACCAGGCTACGGAGGCCGTGTCCTTGAGAAAATTCGTCACAGGCCCTGCTTTTCCATGGCGGCACTTGACCGCTGCTGTTGGCAGGTGGCCACTGTACAGATCCACGAGCCGCGGCAGAGTTGGTTCACTTGGGATGCCATTTCCGTATATTTAAGGCTTTGTGATCCTTATGGGTTGGAAAGTTGGAGACTCCAAATGGTCATCCTTATGCGTGAAAAAAAATCTGGAGATTTCTGGAATTTGGAACTTCCAAATTCTCTTCGATAACCCTGAAACATGGCGAATCCTAGATACCCTGCAACAACGTTCAGACGTGGTTGGGCATCCCTGGGTATGTTATGTCCCTATGAATCACAAGTATTTCCTGCCACAATATCACCCAGTGGCCTCTACCCAACCAGTTTTTCAAAAAAAAAAACGGACCTTTTGGACACTGGCTCTGGCAGTGTCCTCTAGACACCTGTCTGTATCCAATATTCCATGGTCTCCATCTTGGTGCATCTCCGATGGTCTCCGAGACTCAAATGACCCATGATCCAACACTGCAGGCAGCTTCCCCTCGTCTGACGTGGGGTCGGACTCTCTCTAAGATGTTTGGCCCATCTCAACCGCTTCCGCCTATGGGCTTTGATTAAGGTCGGCGAAGTTGTTGTTTTTTGTTCAATCATCGTAACTAGTTTGGGCTTGAATCTAATCAATTTTTAAAATGATCAATGATCAATAATCTAGTGTTCAATAATCAATTATCAATGATCTAGATGCCAGGTTAACATTTGGGTTTACCCCCAAATTGGACGGCTTGATGGTAAAATCATGTAAAATCACGACTCATGACCTCGCCCCAAATTGGATAGTTTGACAAGCAAAAAAATTGTCCAAATGGGCCGCTTCCAGGATTGAAAGTTTGAGATGTTCAGCCCATCTTCAAATCGTGTTGAGTGATTTTGACCGTTGAATTTTCGCTATCCCCGAAACTCGTTTCTGGGTGATGGTTTCAATCACTTCCAAAACTACATCGCTGTTTGGTAAAGGCTGTTTTCAAACAGTGTGCCTGGTCCTGCTCGCTTCTGATTGGTACACAACCACTATTTCAAACAAAATGAAACCACCAAACCACTATTTACCAGAAAACCAAACCACATTTTCGCCCAGGGCTTGGTAAATGTCCCAAGCTTCGGGGATTTTTTTTATCATCACCTGAAAACATATCTGGAGATGATATGATGATCTCCCCTTTTTCTGTTGGGTGATGTGAAAAAACAGTTGATATAACATGATATAACTATAGTTATACAACACCACAACACTGGTATTACATCTAATATCCGGAATCCCAGTTATATCAAGTTATATCCCTTTTTTCCTCATGAATTGTTTCCCAGTTCCCATTTTCCCGTATTCGTTCCAAGTTATATCCTATGTTTCCCTATGTTTTCCTATGTTTTCCCTATGTTTTCCCACATCTTTTCCCAGTTTCCATGGTCTCCCCATCTTTCGCCTGGTGAGTCCCTGGCGTTCCGAAGTGATGTTCGATGAGCCGTTGCTGCTCCACGTAGTTCTTGTGCGGGGCCGTAGCCTTGGAGAAAAAGATATGGGGGTGGGTCAAAACCTATTATCAATTCTAATGGGATGAACATCCATTTTAACCCAGCTATTTTGGGGTTCACTAGGTGCCAGGGTTTTGACCAATAGCCATATTGGAGTTGCTTTTTGGGGGCTTCAATTTTAAAAGATCTTCCGTACAGGATGGTGCCCCCCAGTGATGTTTGTGGGTTTATAAACCCCATTAACTATAGTTAATTATAGTTATATCTGCCATAAACCATAGTGAAATGGGACTTATTTGCACCAACTTAGCTAACTATGGGGCACCACCTTGTATAGATTCACCTGTGGATTCCCCTTTGGGAAAATAAGAAATCACCCTAAACAAAACCAGCTATTAGCAGAACCCCAGTTCTTTCAATCCGTCTTTTTCGGCGTTTCGTGGGGGTTGCTTAAGTCAGGGGATCCACGTCGCCATAGTTGGTTCAATAGCAAGTCATGGCCCACCTGAATCATGTGGGGTCCCTCCATTTTTGGAAACTTCCAGATGACTAGGTTGTGAATAAAATATAGAACATATATAAGCATAATATATATATATTGCTATGGGTGTCTTGCTATATACCAGGGGGTGGTAATGTTACATGTTCCTATAATTATGTGTAGTGGTAAATATACATATACAGATACAGATACATGTATATATATATATATACTAATTCAGATGTATTAAGTATGTTTATATTTGGGGGGGACCAAAAAAGGTGTACAGCACCTATAGAGCCATAGCATGGCCCATTTTCTTGGCCAGGTGACATCACCTTCGATGAAGACCAGCAAGGGATGCTTGAACTGCTTGGGCATATCCTCAACGATCGCTCATGGATTGAGAATAGCTTGATATATACCCATTTAATCCTATTCAAAAATCCATACTGGATGTCAAAATCCATAATGCACTCATCATTCATTGGATTGGTTTATGGGGAAATGTTCCAGGAAAACCTATATCTATCTATATTTTTCATGGGGAAAATGCAAATGTTTCAACTTCCTCAACATGTATACAACTACAAAATGCAAATGATATTTTATGTTGGATGCTTCAACTAACTCAACATATACAACTACAAAATACAAACGAGGAGTTTAAATGAAACAACTACAAAATGAATGCAGCTACAAAAAGCTTGGCCCAACTCCACTTTTTTGTACAAAACGACCCCTGGCTGGAAATCTGTACTGTAGCCCAAGTCCTCCCCTTTATGTAGCTGTTGATCCCGGATCTATATCTTTCATTGGGAAAACCCATGGGTTTCCTTCTCATTACCCTCTGGTACTTCAACATAGCGATCGAAAATGGCCATTGAGTTCGTTGATTTAGCTATAAAAAATGCTGGTTTTCCATAGCTATGTAAACGTTTACCAGAGGCTACTCAGACCAGCATCAGTGGAGACGAGATAGTACTTCACTGCAGCCATTGTGGGCACAGCCTGGAATCGGAGATCTCGTAAGCAGTGCAAAGATGCGGCTTTCACCTGGTTGGTGGTTTTAACCATCTTGAAAAATATGAAAGTCAATGGGAAGGATCCCAATATATATTATGGAAAAAGTAAAAATGATCCAAACCACCAACCAGATTCACATGTCCAAAATTTCAGAGGAGACTTTGAATGCATAAAGTGTATTAGAGTTTGTCTGAAAAAAGGGTACTGCACTACCGGACCCCAAATCTTGATGGTTGATTTTCTACTGTTCCTTGTCAAAATGGCGATTTCAGAGGTGTACCCAGCTATACACCCCATATTGCAATACATCCCATTGTTGGACAAGCCCACGACGACATCTGAGCTGATCAAAAGCCACCAAAATCTGCTGTCCCAAGCTGCTAGGAACATGCCCGTGACTCCCAACAAGGCAGAGAACAGCATGATCAAGGCCTCGGAAGAAACTCAGCAAATGACCAAATGACCTCTGAAAATTGGGAAAATCTCTTCATTCTTCATGGAAAATGGGATGACTTTCTTAAATTTTGGCCAAATCTATTGGAAATGATGCTGGATGAATGTGTCTCCAGGTGTCCCAGCTATGATGACCACTGGATGCATGCGCATGAACTGGCCGCCAAGGCTGGCATACATCTGCACCTCGACCACATTGCCTCAGTCGGCCAGTCGGCCAAGGATGGCGCCAAGGATGGCTGCGAATGGCTGCGAAACGAGCGAAACGAATGAAATGCTGACATTTCTGGTTGCACCCTGCTGATACTTACCCATGACGGATCCATGGTGCTGCTATATATGGTAACATGGATCCCATCAATATACCCCAAATGTTAGCATATATACCAGCACCATGGATCCTATGGATTAAAGCTTCAAATTGTTCGTCCCTAAATAGTTGGCCGCAGAGAAAAACATGTTTACGCTTCGGTGGGTAAGACACTGTGCCGGTAGCGGATTGAGGCACTGCGCCGGAACTCAGTGCAAGCCCCGGCCTGTGAAGATTTTGATGCTGGTACCAAAAATAACAAGCCTCGATCAGCGATTGACTGCTCAAGAAAACCTGCATATCATGCATCTCTACATGCATTGCACAACATTCAGTCTTCACTCTATCATTTACAAAGCTTGTAAGATTGAAAGCCATTAAAAGCTGTCTTGTGATGGAGTGAAGCAGCAAGATTCTCCGTTCTCAGCTGCTCTCCAAGTGGCCACAGCAGATTTTCCAAACGCTGATCCCGCGGAAGGTGTCCATCGAACAAGATGGCGGGCACGGTTAGAATGGCTGAGGCGATTGCACCTGCAACTGGTTAGATCTGCTTGGTGTTTCTGGGGTGAAAAAACCGTCAGGGGATACGAATTCACCGATGCTGGGGAGATCCAAACCATCGCCGGATCGCAGACATTTGCAAAATGACCTATCTGAAAGTGGCTAGATCTGGTTTTTCGCTGCTATAGCTATGGTCAGCAAAACCTGCCATAGCTAACATCTCTCGACTTTTTTTCGACCTGCCTGCCTGCCATTTCAAACGTCATCGACAGCGGACGGCAAGGCGCGCCGCGCCTATCTCTGGGATGAAGTTCAACAAAAAGGTCAAGACCTGTCCGACTGACTTTAATGGAGATCTGTCAATCCCACATGGATTGAAAATGGGGTGCATATATGTATATATATATATATGGTATATACCTAATGCCATCCTGTTGATATCTCTTGATCATTTTCTGTGTAATCATGGCCATACTGGAGGTATCTCATTATATAAATATAATAATATAATATATATATATATTATATATATTATTATATAACCCCCAGTGACACATCCATCATTCATTGGGTATATCCTAGTTGTTCATGGTTACGTTCCTGATTGTTGATGCTCAAGTCTCCAGTTCCGGTGTTTCATCCCGAGCGCAAAATCCACAGTGGTGACATCACTAAGGGAACTCAATTTGTATCTCCAACTGGCTCCCCATCTAATAGGGAAGTTCCCCTTTGGTTGTTTAAAGTAACCATGGATAACAACAATGTTTAGTAGGCAAATCATCACAAATCATTTAGAAATGGGTAAATTATCACAGCATATCACAGCTATGTAACAAATAGCCGGTAGATACCGTACCCGAATCGCTCCGTTCATCGCTCCCTCCGTTCAGGGATCGTAAGGCTTGGACAAAGAAAAGGCTCCAAATTTTGCATTGCAACGCTAGGAGTAGCGCCTCAGCGTCGATGGATCATGATGCATCCAGGGCTGGGTGTTGTCTGATTCCGTTTGTTGGACCAGAAAAAAAAAAGGCATTTGGCCAGAAAAAAAAGGAAAATGTGGATTTGTCAATTTGGCATTTCCACATTTGGCCAGAAAATTGACAAACATGAGCAAAATGTGGATTTCGACTGGTTTGAGGGAAATATTACAGGAAACATCAGCTTTTTAGCCACAATTCCAGGGATGTCCTGCAACTTGTCCTTCAAAGGTTTCCGGGAAATCTGCAAGAGACATGCTCAATTACAATTAGGACATCGCAATTAACTTCTGCCACAACACACTCATCAAGGTTGCAAAGAGCAGACAAACGATGGTCTTCAACAGCAAATAGGACTTGAAGACCTGCCACTGAAACGCTGAAAACTGTGGATTTGGAAATGAGGCATTGGAAATGCGGCAATGCGACATGAGTTGAAGTGTCTTGCCATTGATGTAGCAGATGTTCCAAAACGTTCATCATCACTTTTTGGCAGCCTCCGCGACTGGGCTGCTGATGGGAAGTGGTTCGAAGATCCAAAAGAAGAGGTAGACGAAGAACATCAACGCCTGACATCGTTGAGATGGGGGCTTCATGGATAGTCATGGGGGATCAGTCACAACTGATTTCCGTACATTGAACTTAGGTCATCCATGACTTAAAGATGATGGCCTGGGGTAACCCCCATGACTTCGGAACCAATCTGAGTTTGTGTGGTCGTGATCCCATGGCTCCCAGGGAGATGATTCGCAGCCAGAAACAGCACCCAATGTTCGTCCCAAAGAAATTGTCAAACAACTCATCTCGCCATGTGTTTCCGTAGAAAGTTACCAGGGTTTTCATAGACCAAACATCTCCCCCACCTGGAAACTCAAGGACTCCAAGCTCGAGACGATCTGCGCAGTCATTTCTGGCAGCTGAGTCTGCAAGAAGTCCGCGGCCTTCTTCTGGATATCCTGTGCTTCGGCTACGGTCGTGTCGTGGTCATAGGACTGGTTTACTAGCACGTTAAAATAAGACTGGCGCATGAACTTTCTTTCTCAGCTTGCAGTTACAAATTTTGATAATTATCAAGCAGATTCAAGTAGAACAACTCTTGATTTTTATGAAATAAATGAAATGGTCATCTCTTTGACAGCCAAGGACGACCACACCTCCCAGATTTTCTGCGGGAAGATGGGCTTGATGAGGTCGAGGAACTCCATCACGCCCTGCGATGCTCTCACTTGCTGCGGGACAATAAACATCATTGGATATCTATGTATATGTATATATGATTATAATATATATATAGAGAGATAGAGATAGATAGATAAAATGAATACCCCAAACAAAATGAATGCAAACCATATGTTTTAAAAAAGAAAAAGAAAAAACATGTAATTACATCTATATATAATATATATCATATATTGTATAAATATATCAACATGTATTAAACTAGCAACTTCTGTATGATATACATAGGTATGAAATAAATGGGACTCAATGGGATATAATGAGATGCTAAAAATGTGATGTTGAATGGCCAAGCACTGAAAATTTATGACATTTTATGCAGTTTTTTTCAACCAAGCATTTGATGAGGACATGATATCCTGGTGTCACCTTCCCTGAGTGGCTTCAACTTTCCTGAACACAAATATGAATCTGGTTGGTGGTTTTAACCCTCTTGAAAAATATTAGTCAATGGGAAGGATGACATCCCATATGTTATGGAAAATAAAAAATGTTTGAAACCACCAACCAGGAATGATCTCCCTGGTGTTGAACAGCCCCAATCGATGGTCCCATTCCTGGAAATCCCCAACATCATGCTGACGATCTTGGGAAAGTTTTTCATATGGGACCATTGTTGGCTCCGGGACACGCAGCAGCTTTGGGACACAGCACTTGGTGGGATCACTCGGATGGCGCCAAAAAACTTTGGGATCTTTCACTCTGTGTTTTGGCGCAGAGAAATCACCAACAGATGCACCTTGCTGTAGTCTTGGAGATTAGCTCTGAAGCTGTTGACGCCCATCTGAATAAAGGCCACAAAAAACCTCGGAAGTTGCATCGAAGCTGACAACATCCCTTAGGAACTCCTGAAAGCTGCGACCAGAGCAGATCGATCCCGACATTCACCACTCAATTGCCATTTGAAAACATATATATCAAATATTTATATACATATAATTACTTTCTTCTGTCCCATCAAATTATAGTGGGATTATATAAAATAATATATTGTTGATAAGATTTGATAAGTATCCCTATATCTCCACAAGACCTCCCCTCTGTAGTACAGCACAAGGGATCGCAGAGTTGGAGAAAACCGATTCATCATGCCTTGAGGAGGAAGAAAAACATGCTGAAATCCTTAGCGTCTCACATTTTTCCATGTCAAACAGATAAAACATGATAAAACAATGATCTCTACAATTTGATAACATATATTGACAACATATCCTACTGTCATCCTTAAATCCTCTAAACAAAAATCCCATGAAAATTGCTACCCCCGCAGATTTTCTCAGCTACCACCCCGTTTCCCATTGCGCGGCGACTTAAACACTGCCGTAACGCACTGCCGAGCTGCCAAACTCCGGCGGCCATGATCGCCAGAGTGAGGATCAAAGACACAATCCAGGACCTTGGTTAATCCCATCTATGGTTAAGCCCCAACAACATCCAAAATTACTAGGTAGATATATATATATCTCATGATACATCTCAATCATGTCCTAAAATGGTCAAAATAGGTTTGGGCCGGGAGCTGGTTACTCCCATCCCGTCATCATTTGTGCATGTTTTTGGGAAAAAATAGTGGTAGACCTTGGTTAATCCCATCTATCATCATACAAAGTGGTACCGCATAGTTAGCTAAGTTGGTTTATAAGTCCAATAACTATGGTTTATAGGTGTTATATCTACAGTTAATGGGGATTATAACCCATTTATAACTGGGCGGGGCACCACCTTGTAGAAACCTGTTGTTTTTCAGGGGGTAAACCTGAAGAAACCCCTCTATGAAAGTCAACCGCTGGGAAAGCCGGACATCTATTAATCAACCTTGGCTGCAGAATTTTGTTGCTAACGGGAGAACTTTTGAAAAAAAACATGGGGGGATGAACCAAGAAAACTGAGGAAAACTGGGGAATGATAACGGGATAAGCCAAAAAAAACTGAGGAAAACTCATGGGGAAACGATCTGGGGAAACCAACTTCGAATAGACTTCGACATAATAAAACCAGGTGGTACGTGGCATGTTTATTGGTTTATACAGCCTGGTCCGATATACAAGCGGAAGTAGCTGCCATTCACCCGGGTGAAATATGCGCGAACAAGACCAACTTAGCGAACTATGCTTCACCACCCTAGATCTAGTTGCAAGAGGTACGGTATTGTTGGGCCGCTTGTGAGATCATCTGAGATTATTTCAGTTTCCATTTTAAAGTGTATCCATAAGGATTCATAGGGGGTGCAGTTCCATCATGAATGGATATATAATCACAGTGATCGGGATTCTATCCCATCTAATGGAAGTCATCGCCATGCTTATACCCACAAAAACATCACGCCTGGCCTAAGAGATTGACTTATGGATCATCACCAGATCGTGTGACCAGAACTATAGATTTATATTGTGTTCATACTATGGTTTTTTATATATCTGGGCAAATTATAATAATTCACCAACCTGAATTAAGGCCATTTGGGGATGATTCCCCTTACTAACTATGATTTCCAGTGAGGTCGTAGTGAGGTCGTTATAATTTACCCAGATATATATACCAATAGTTTAACCAATAATTCACTAATCTATGGCTACGAGGCAAAACCCTGGCACCCGGATACCAGAAAAATATCGTTGTTGGATGTTTCCCGGTAACTGGACCCATCCCCATATATAGAAACGTACAGGATGGTGCCCCCCAGTGATGTGAACGTGGGTTTATAAACCCCATGAAAACTAGTTCGTTATATCTGCCATAAACCATAGTGAAATGGGACTTATAAACCACCAACTTAGCGTTCACGAACTGGGGCACCACCTTGTATAGCCCATAATAACCCTATACATCCCTATACCCTCTGGAAAATCATGGCATATAATACCCAAAAAAAAACCAGAGATAGCCATAGTTCATAGTGGTTTTCCTAATGATTCAATATCAACATCAACCCCATTCTTCAGCCGATTGGATTCCATGGATCCCCTCCCCAGACAGGACACAGAGACGAACTCTTATCGATCACCAGCTTACCGTGAAGCCTAGGGCCTTCGCTGCTCCTGGTGGCTGTGGCGCTGTGGCTTGCTGGGACCTTGCTTTGGTGCTGGAAATCCATTACTTTAATGGAGCTCGAGAATGTTGAGTTGAGCCATACAATATCTATATATCTATGTATAGTTGATCATAGTTGATCATTCTTTTGAGCATGTTCTTCTGAAAAAAACGGCTTTAGCGGCTGGGGATTGTGATGATCAACCATGAGATTTGGGGCTTGGACCTCAACCGTGACAGGTAGGTGATTGTAGCTAGCTGTCATTTCCCCAGGAAAATGAAGCCTCATAAAGCTCTGTAGTTAGAGCTGCCATGTGCTGCAAGATGTGCTTCAGAATATGAATCGTCATCAAACCACCCTGGGCCTCGTCGCATTGCCCACTCCAACAAGGGATGCAACCAGGAGTCCAACAAGTCATGCGGAGTTACGCCCTCGTGTCCTTGATAAGACCGCCGGGTACTGCTCCGCTGCGTCTAAGTAGAGCTCCAAACTGTCCAAAGTTCCACCTGTGTTGACTGCAAATGACAAGGCATTTTAACAGTTTTTCTTGCCGTGGATAGCTACATCTGCTTTCTTTCAAAATAGAAAGCGAGGACCAATCTGAACGAATCTGAACTATGCTGGGACGAATTTCGGAGCCAAACAGTCTCTTGCAGGGAAGCGTTGTGACAGGGGCCTTCTTCATCCTCTTTTTGGCAGGCATAGTATGCCCAACCCTCTACCAGACCTTAGGGCAGGGCAGGAGAATGGCCATTGCGGGGTTTACTCTCCGACTCTCCGGTCATGACTAACACTTTGCGAACCTGAAAATTGCCCATGGAAATAGATGGTTTACCTAATTAAAATGGTGATTTTTCATAGTTATGTAAACGTGTACCAGAGTGGTTAAGACCCCAGTTTCAGATCAGGATCAACGTGCTGCAGTAGCGGTAGCGAATAAAAACCGACTCAACTGCTGATAGATGCTGATAGCTACCAGTCATTCCAGAACAATGGCTGCTTGGTTAAGACCAGGATCCCGGAGTTCATGGATTATGATCCCTTGAAATTCAGAGAATTCGTCTAGTTCATCCCTAAGAATTACATAAATAACAATTATCAATAATTATCATCAAGTAACCAGGGTTTTCTGTTTCAACACTGCAAATAAAAATATGTCGATGTGCTTCTAGCAGTGGAACCATCCATGTTGTTCTCAAAGCGCGAACTGCCGATGGTCGGAGTCTCATCCCGTGACGGGAAAAATCCAAACCAGGCTGCCGTCAGCTTCCGGGTCGGCATGATGATGATGATTGTCCTGCCAAGCAAAATGTCAAAAAATGCACTGCGACACGGAACAACAAACAACAAACCATTGGGGTGTGGCGCATATCCCAAAAAAAAAATATCATGTCATCGAGACAATCATTCAAAACCAGTGAATTTCACCGTAGCCTATTTTCAGAGAAACTCGTTGAGAGAAACACTGTTATCATGTTGCAGCTACAGTAGAATAGCGACGCGACTCCAGTGCTGTCCTCATGTTGCAGTTCTGCAATGCGAACGCGACGACGGCAGCAAGACCTCAGAAACAGATGTGGCGATGAACTCAAGTGACTTGGAGAACGACTTCATTGGCAAGTCACTATCAATAACTGGTTGGTGGTTTTAACCATCTTGAAAAATATGTCAATGGGAAGGATTATCCCATATATTATGGGAAATAAAAAATGTTTGAAACCACCAACCAGATAAGGTTTAGCTATCAACAAGGTTTATCAAATAAGTAAATTTGTTTATCAAGAAGGTGTCATTTATCAAATTAATAAGGGTTTTTTAATTATCCAGCTGTGTCAAAGAGAGGGCGAAGTGACTGACCTCACATTCGATGTCATTGGGACAACCATTAGAGGAAGGTAGAACATAGTGGACCAGGTAGAACATGATAGAACATGTTAGAACCACTTGTGAGCGAAGGTCTTGAACGATCTGCCAATCTGCAAAAGTAGTGGAATGCCTCCCCGCTCGTCTGATTTTCTTCGTAAAACGCTGGTTGTCTTGAGCCAGTGTCGGAACAAGAGGCTCCAATCTGAAGAGACGTAGAAGCATTGAGCAGTGCTTCGAGCACGGCGCATTCACCTGCTAGCATCAAAGAAGCGCTTCGTGCAAATGCATTCGATGCTATTCGATGTGAGTGCTACACTGTATCCGACATGCTGACTTTTCGCATCATGAGATCATCAGAGTTTGTTCCTGACCCTAAGCCCCTGCGTTGATTTAATGACACTATATACCACTCGAGCATTTTGAAATCAGAAGTGGGTTAGTCTGAAACTAGGCTGCCCCAAAAATTCTATTGTCTATCATCCTGTCGTTGCCGGTTAAATCCTGTTTGCTGCTTGAATCACCATTCATCACTAGTTTTTATGCTTCATTTCTGCTTGAATCACCATTCATTCCCATTTTTCATGGTTGAATCCCTTTGCTAAAAATGCTTCTCAGGTACCCTCTGGTAAATAAACATAGACCCTGAAAATCACCAATTTTTAACGGAAATTAATCTTCCAACCCCTATCTGCCAGGGTCTATGTTAATTTACTGGAGGGTATCTCCCAAAAAAATCACCACGGTCTCCCACCGAAATTTTCGTCTCCCGCCTTCCGCAGGAACAGGGCGTTCCGCTCCGTCGCGCTGCGGTCCGGAGCATCCAAGGTGATCTGCCAAGCAGTGACCGAAAAGTGGACAGAGTCAGGCTCCTAGCAAAAGCGGTTCACTTTCCAGGGGGGCAAGTTAGGTTCACTTGACCTGCAAAAATATGATGATTTAATATGATTTTATATGATTGAATATGATTGAATATGATTGAATATGTTATAAGGGGATTCAAATGGGACTTTTTATGGGATTTATATATATATAGGATTTAATAAAATGTTGATGAATGATGGTTGATCATTGTTGATATTGAGGATGATCTACAGGAGATTTCACCAACAGACGTGTATGTATATTATATATAATACAGGGATAAAATGGAGACACGATGGGGAAAACTACACATACACTCATATTATCCCCTTGTGAATTAAGTGAAAGTGTTGGTGTGCGCAATTTTATAGTGATAAACCTGGAAACGTTGACCCTCTTTTTGAAAATGCATCTATAGAATCAGAGACGCCAGGGTATTTTCAAGTTGACAATCTCTATAGAATTGCTGTCACTGAGGTTGTTTATGAGCATCATTTTCTATAGAATAGCTGACACCAAGTCACTCTCGTAAAGCCTTTTTTTTGGTTGGGGGGGTTAGTTGGCCTTCTATAAAATCAGATTTCCCCAAGTCTCATTCATTGACAGCTGACCTGAATACTCCAGTTGCTCTTGCCTAGCTTATCTCATGCATTCTCAAATTTATCGAGCCTTCTTCCTCCAAGTTTTCAGTCAACCTGTTTTCAACATGACATCTCTATAGAATCGCTGACACCAAGGTCCTCTATAAAATGGCAAACGTTGACACTGGGTAGGTACCCCTAAACAAAGGAGGGTCCTAAAACTTTTACCATGTTACCAAGCTTAACTCTTGCGATTTTGTAGAGGAAATTGCAAGGAGGATCTCATATTCATGTTCACTTCAGCCATTCATGTCAACCAAACATCATCTCTCAAGGGCCGCAAGGGTGACCCCCAGGATCTTCCCCGAAAAAAAGATAAAAAAGTTCGAACCCTAAAACGAAAGCCTAGTTTTGTATTGGATCTATGAAGTTGACTTTGGGTTCCACATTTTCCAGTCATCAAGGGCCCTGTGTCGTCCCTCGATCTTGGTTGAGGGCCAGATTCCCTCTTCATGGGTATATCATATTCACAATATATTTCTGCGTAGAATTCCCCCAACTAATCAACCATCATTTATCAGTTATATCAAGTTCTAATCACGAACATATCCCCATCATCTTTGGTGAACAGCCCTATTTGAAATGCCAAACTCATCCCCAACCGAACCGCCACTGCTCCTCCCCAGCTACGTCAATGAGTCGAGGTGAGGAATTCCTCTGCCAAAGATAGTTCCACACGCGTTTCAAGCAGCTCATCACCTGGTTTCGTTCCAATCCCAAAAGTCGATGTATGACCCAAACATATTTCTAGCCCATGGATAAGTGGCGATGTTCCATGCGTACATGTATATATGATGTCATATATATATATTACCAAATGTCCCATGATCAAATTACATGGTATATGCATTTTTGTATATTTTTATATATTTGTGTCATCCCATCCCCTTGGAACAGCATGTTGTGGTGATGGGTATGCGTCCAAAATCTGGTGCCGATGGACCCAAAGAATTACTATATGTTGAGGGTAAACATGAATAAACCATCCATTTCGGGCTTCTCCCACTGATCTTTCCATTGTTGTTGGGTATTGACCAATTAATCGCTTGAAATGCTCTCCCACTGCCCTTCTGAACATATCTGAAGTAAAGTAATGATTCATTTTCATGAAAGCTCTCAGTTCATGGATAACATGATAAGAACAAATAAAACACCAACCATGATTTATCAGTGTGTTATCTCCCCATATCTTTGATGCTCAAAACGTCCAAAGAAGAATTTTCATCGTAACAAATCCCAATATTTTACAAGCAATCATCAACCAACTCCAGGCTTTCAAAAATACATTTCACACCCAAATACCGACTCGAGCTGTGCTCAAAATCTTCTGTCATCCCTTCAAACACTGGACTACTGGTCAGTTGAGTGCATGGGTCAGCGCATAATCCCCAATAAACCAGATGAATACCTCCACTAATCACTCAACCATCAACCAACCCTCATTTACCCTCTGGTAAACTAACATAACTATGGAAAATCACCATTTTTCATGGGAAAATTCACTATAAATGGTGATTTTCCATAGTTATGTTAAATTACCAGAGGGTATCAGATAATATCAGAAAATTTACCAGATATCTCCTCATATTTTCGGATGGTTCACCCCTTTGTGATGCAGCTAATCACCATTAATCACCAAGTGGCCCGGTTGATCAAGCGATCGATGTAGGAGATCAGTAAGGTGCTGGGAACCTCCAAAAATCCGCCAGAAATCGAACCATTTTAAGGGTGAAAACGATGTTTTTTCTCCAGCATTTTATGGAGAATTCACCCCTAAAATTTGTGGATAAACTAGTGAGTACAGTATTATCTTGGAGTGTAAAACCGATCATTTGATAGGGATATGTTTAGGAATAACATGGGGATAGAGACTTTGCTGTGTCCCTCTCTCGCCCTTTTCGCTTCAAAGTATCCATGAATTCATTGGTCGTTGGTCCGAAAAACTTGTGGTGCACCAGGAATCCGTTCCCCAAAAAGACACCCCAAAACGACACACCTATATAAGGCCTATATAAGGCCTATGTAAGGGAATATCCCCACAAAATATGGCCAAACATATGGTACTAACGTACCTCCATTTTAGGATCCTGAAGATCTCCCATTGATTGTTGGATCTATTCGTGAATTGGGGGCCCAAGCATTGGGGGCCTAACGCCTAAGAGAAGAGATCAGGTCTACTCTGGAATCATTTTGAAAATTTGGAATATATTGTGAGGTTCTTTTCCTTTGTATTACTTAGAAACTCTGGAATCTAATATCTAAATATCTAGTATCTAATATTATCTAACATGCACACGTGTATATATATATATATATTGAACACCATAAAATAATGGACTTTGTGATTGTGGAGTGATAATTACTATATATGTAATTATATAATAATAATAATAATAATAACAATAATAATATATATATATACATAGATACATACATAGATATATATATATATACTAATATACGTATACTATGAATCTGTTCAGCTGGAAACAGCCAGGTCCCCGCGCAGCAAAGAAGGCCGCCCAGCACAGTGGTGTGATGGTGTCCCGCAAGTTCCTCTCAGGAGCTGAAGCGGAAGCCATGGCCCCTCTCTGGTTCTGCTGGATGGTCCCCTTGGAAAAATTATGCGTGATCCATAGACATTCGAAGGAAATGGAGCTTTGATCATCAACAATGAGAATTTTCATGGAATTTTATATATATATATTATATTATATAATGGGATAGATCTGGCTGAATTATCGGAATTCACCAATTAAGCTGAAAATACTGTAGCATACTGTAGCTGAAATAAGGTCATTTGGGGATGATTCACTGAATTTTTACCCTCATTTCAGTGATGTCGCAGTGAGGTACTGATAATTTATCCAGATATATGGATGTGTCTGAAAATGCTTCATATCCCCAAAAGCGTTACTTACAATAGAGAAAATGATGACTCACCATGGAAATTTTGCAGTACCCTATTTTCAGACAAACCCATATAGAAAGAGAGAGAGAGAGAGATTCTAGATACACGTGTTTAAATAGAACGTTGATAATATTGATAGCTAAGTGTACTAATAGAGAAGATTAGTCTCGTACTACAAACATCTATGATTCTAGATAATTATTGATTATGGATATGAATTCAGTACACTGAATCTTTTACACTGATTCTTGTCGTGTCGCCACTGGCAGCCACCGCCTCGTGAGGTACACAAAGATCCCAAAGCACACCACCAGCAAGAACGCCACCTGACGCGGCGTTAAGCGCCAGGAGAATCCTGCAGAATGTTGGTGAAACCAGATGAAATCATGATTAAACCATCCCAAAAAAAAAATGATTGGTGTTTAAACCATGATTTCATCACCCAAAAAAGTTGAGCCATGATTTTTTTTGGTTAAATCATGTCAAATCCCTCCAGCACTTAGTGACTTAGTGTTCAGTTTCTGGACTGACTGGAAATGACCTAGTCACTTCACCAAGGAACAAAGGCAAAGTTCCGCTGGAACTCCTCCATTCGCACCATGCTGGCGACCAGCTTGATCTTGGGCTATGGAAAAGGCGAAAAGGCTTCGACCTTTTTGGAAAATGGCTATCAAGAGGAGCTGGAGTCGGCAACTTGTGTCAAAAGCTGCACAGGGTGCAGTTTTCTCAATGTCTGAGGGCAAACATCTGAAAAAAAGAGCAAACTACAGCGTCTTGCAGCTTCAACATGTTCTCGCTCAATGACCTTGAGCCTAAAGGTGGATGCCAGGCAGCCATTCATCAAGCATCACCTTTTGTGGAGCTTCAACCATTATATTGCCAATATTTCAAAGCACCAAAATATACCAAAATGGGTCAGTCTGAAAAAATGGGAGAGTACTCAAAATATCTCAATATAATGATGAACCAGTGGATTCTCAGACTTTCAAACCCATAGAATCCCATCCCTTCATATTAAGATCATCCCCCCCAAAAAAAAAGCTAGGGGGATTTACACCTTTTGGAGACCATTGGACTACCGTAGATGGACGAATTATTCAAACCCTTGTAATCCAATAACCCCCCGCACCCCAATTACAATGGACAAAAAAAAATAAGTCCATCTACTGTAGACCATGGCGCTGACACCGGCCGGGGGCACCAAAGTCACTCAACGCAACGCGGCACTGTAAATCTCTAAAGTCCAGGACGCTGAGCAAAAAGTTGTCGCCCTGATGGGGTCATGCTACGGCCGTTGGACGTACGGCCCGCCATTCTGGGATACGGAAAAATATGGAAGAAATGTGGTACCCTCTGGTTATGACTAACATTTCGCCATGGTATAGATGGCCCTAATCGAAATAGATGCTTCACCGTTCTTAAGCATGGTGGATCTTTCCATGGCAAACTGTGAATGTCATAACCAGATGGTAATTGTCAATGTGCGTCCATTTTCACCATCCCTTTTTGGGTGTGAAAAAATTGTTGAGCCCTTCCAAAGTGAGCCAAATCGAACAGGGCAAGATTCGGGTCTGACCTTGATCCCATTGGAGTTGAAGCTAGCTGAGCCAAAAGTTGGAAAGCTGGAAACAATCTACCCTCTGGTAATTTAACATAGCTATTGAAAATGGTGATTTATAGTGGATTTTCCCATTAAAAATGGTGATTTTCCATAGCTATGTTAGTTTACCAGAGGGTAAGAAATTCAGGATGTGTTAAGCAAACATATGTCAACTGTAAAATTAGACCACAGGTTCCATTAAACACCATTCATCAGCATGAAAAATCATTGCTAACCAGAAGCTTTTTTTGCGATCTATAGAGTAACATATATAAACCATCAAAACCAACCAAGAGAAGCTATATTATATATTTTATATGTACAGTACCCCCTGGTAAACGTTTACATAACTATGGCAAATCACCATTCTTAATGGGTAGTCATCCACTATAAATGGCCATTTTCAATAGCTTTTTGCTAACGTTTACCAGAGGGTACATGCATATCCTGGGATCCCCGAGGGTGGGTGAACGGTCCAACTCGGTCCCAACGGTCCGTCGCACCTTGATGTCCCGGTGCACGATGTGTTTGCCGTGGAGGTACTGGATGGATGCCACCATCTGGCGTATTCCCAGGAGAATCCCGTTCAGAAAAAAGCTGTGTGGCTGCGAACAAAATATCCCACTTCATTGTGATTCTATAGATATTTCTTATTGTATATATATATATAACATATTGTAACATATATATATATATATCCCATATTATAACATGTATCCCATATCACACAATTCCCCATGAAATTGAACAGCAACGTAGCACCCCGGATCAGATTCTTGTCATTTTTCTCGGCCAACTCGCCTGGTAGCTCACGTGAACAATATCCCGTGCGTTGATCTTGCCGCGCTCCTCGCTTGTTTTTTTTGCCCCGCGGTCAATCTTTGACATTGGCTGGATATGTAAAAAAAAACTGCACCTGTAAGGTCAAAATTTTGAAATGTTTGGTGGTGAAACAACACTTTTTCAAACAGGAGATTGGCAAAAAAAACGGATGTTAAGAGGTACAGTACCATTGATGAATGGGTGAATTATCCTCTGGTTATCTAACATAGCCATGGAAAATGGTCCATTTATAGATGATTTTCCCATCAAAACCCCCATTTATGAGGGATTTTCCATGGCTATGTCAAATAACCAGATGGCAACCAGCAAAAAAACATTGGATATGGATTGGTTTTGGACATCTACGAGAGCATGGATTTTCCAAATATGTGGAGGTGTCTTTTTGTGTCAACCAAAAAATGTCCCAACTCATCCATGTCGGGGACTTGATTTTTGAAGTGGGAGACAGGTTGGTGGTGCAATAACCATCTTGAAAAATATGAAAGTCAATGGAAAGGATTATCCCATATATTGTGGAAAATAAAAAATGTGTGAAACCACCAACCAGGAGATTGATTGGGAATATGAATTTGCGATCATGAATGAGGTATTTTATCAAGAATGAACGGGGAATAATGGGTGGTATATGTTGGGAGGTGTTGGCAATTTGACAATACGGCTTTAGTATATGTATGGCGAGAAGTTACATGAGAGTCTTCGGCTGCTACTTTATGAGAAGATCTTATTGGCTTATTGGATATGTTGTGGGATGTATAACTTATAAAGCAACAACACGCAACGACACTGCAATAACCTGCAATAGTTTTTTCACCATCACTATCCATCACTTACATGGGGATATAGTTCATATAGCATCATATAGCTATGCGTCAGAATCATCAACCCTCAAGACATGTTTTTTTGGTTTGATAGAAAAATGACCACAAGGCTCTCAGGGTTCTAACATGAACAGCCATAGCTCGCCATCCCCATCTGTCCTTCAAATGCGCTTGCATTCCATCGACCAAGTCTCCTGGTTGGCGACACCAGGAAGGGCCAACTCCATGGACGAAAAAATGTGAAAACATGTAAAAAAATACGGCATAAAATGTATATTATTGCTATAAAGGTGTCATACTAATATTGAATCTTAATATTAACACAAATGTGAATAGTCACAATTGTGAATATAAATGTGAATACATAATATTGCGATATTGTGTCATATTCATAGTCACTATGACAATGGAATACATAATACAACGGGCTAGTGAAACCCCACTCACAACAAAAAATAACAAAAACCTCTCAAGCTTGACACTGTCCTCCCGAGTACTTGTCCATAACAATGCACACAAAACACCTGGCAGCCGCCAAGGGGAGTTTGACACCAGTTCAAGCTCAAGGTCAATGGGTGGTCTCTGCTCTTGTAGCATTCTGATTATCCGGGGAGCAAGAGTATGAGCCGATGACATGCTGGTTTGTGGATTTAGTCATTCATAGTCATTCCAAACAATTCTATAGTGACGAACAAGTACTTAGAACATCTTTAGTATAAGGATTTTAATGTTCTAAGTGCAGGTTCAGATATTTTGAAAAAAAAATGATGTTCTAAATAGTTGTCCTCAACTATACTACGTACTGCTTCCCTGACCAAAATGGAAAGCGACGTCATCGAGACCCGGTGCCTTTCGCTAAAGACCGCGTGGAAGCGAACGATGTTCTCGTGGGAGAGCGTCTGGCGAGTGCAGATCTCAATGGACGCAGTGTTTTCAAAAGAAGCCAATCTCCCTCAGTACGGAGTACAAAGAATCAATGGTGATTTCATGTGAGATGTAGTAAACGTTGACAGTTTGCGAACTGGAAAATCCCCACTTTTCATAGATAAATCAACTATTTCTATGACCATGTTCAATCTCCTTCAGGGGATCCGACTCGCAATCAGCGCAGTGACCCACTGCATCGTTTGTCTCAAACAAAAAGGGGGTACCCCAAGAAATCCCAAATGTTGTTTTACAGTGCTATAAAATGGTCTGCATTAAACGTGCCATCTGCCATTTTGTGTATCCGTGCCATTAAAACCTCCATTGATGTGTTTTTGATTTATGTTCACCAGACCATTTATGTGCATTTCTTCAAGTTTTAAACATCATTAGAATCAGCTATTGAGGAGATGTGCGGAGAACTTTTTTTTTTGCTGCGGATTACCCTCTGGTTATGTCAAAATAGCTATTGAAAATGGCCCAGTCGAAATAGTGAGTTTTCCCATTAAACATGGTGATTTTCCATAGTTTTTTGTTAGTTTACCAGAGGGTAAATCCCATTAAATCCCATTAAACCACCATAAACCATAAACCCTCATTAAATCACCATTTTCCTATGGTTTCCACAAAACCCCCATCGCTTTCGAAAAAAAACTCACCGCCTGCATCAACTCGGCTTCACGGCGAATGACCTCTGCAGGCGTCTCTACCTGTCATCGCGAAACGCATCGCTACGAAAAATGTCCAATGCGCGTTGCCAATCTGCCAGACCAAGTCAGAAAAATAGAAAAAAATTAGCTGGTGAGTAGATACTGCCATAGAAAACTAGCCATTAAAGGATATTAAAGGATTAGACTTCCCATTAACATCCATTGACTAGGTTTTTACCTATCATTGGTTCAAGGGAACATACCTAGCATTGGCTCAAGGGAACACTTCAAGGAAACCAGTGTGTTTTTTTCCCGGGTATAGAGGGTTGGGGACCGTCTGCTTTTTGTCCAACGCATCCAATTCTGGGAATCAGAATTGGACCTTGTCCACCATCTTCACAGCAACCTGTCCAGACGAAGATGCTGTAGAATGCAAAGAAAATAGACCCAATTTGCGTGGAAAAAGTCTCAGCAAAATTTGATGTTTCATTTTCACCAAGAAAAATGATGAAAAATGGAGATTGAACCAGAAAATAAGCAACCAGAAAGCAGCTTCAAGTGGTCTTGATATGTCTTGATGATCACTCCGACACATCTCTGAAACCCAGTTTTTCTCATTGTCATTGCCGTTGTATCACATGGTTCTTGTTTTTGTTTCGCACCCCGCCTGTTTTCTGGTTGAAATCCCAGATGTTGTCTGAAATCACCATTTCTCTCGTTGAAAAAAAAAAATACGTGTTTTCCTCCGTTTCCCTGGCAAAATCAACAATTTGATCAACATGTTGGTTGGTTTCAACGTGTTTCAAGCTCCATTTTCCCATCTTTTCCGTGGTAAACTCACCATTAAAAAAGCGCACACCTCGGAGCCGCTGGATCGGTGAGTACAAGCCTTGGCGGAGCAGCAGTGGCTTGTGGGATAAGTTACTATAGCTGGATATAGCTGGATATAGCTGGATACTAGTTTCCAATATGTTTTTTGGGAGCAAAACAAAATATGTATATATATATATATATGTTAGAAAGTAACTCCAATTAATTTAAAAAAAAGTATGTTACTGACTCCAACTATTAACTTATTAACGTCAGATTTAGAGTTAGTAACTCTATGGTGTTTAACAATGATGCGTGTTCTGTTTGTTCGATTTCTCGAGATCTATAGATCTATAACATACTAGAACTTTTTGGCTATAAATATATATATATATGTGGGATGTTGTTCCATATAACTCTATAATATGGTACTGTATCATAACTATATTACCAGTCTATATACTATATGGTCGTTTATGAATATAATATATGTATATATGTATATATATGTTATTTGTCTATTGTGTTATTTTGTTCTATATCTATGCATTATATAATATTTTTTTTACATATATTATAGATGTGTTGCATAGATGTGGATCTACCATGATCTACCGAAAAAGGCATGTTGCTCCAAAAGTTACATCTAAAAATTGACAAAGATATGGGTATGGATCAATACCTATTAATACCATTTTTAGGGGAATATGAACATCCATTTACCAGCTATTTTGGGGTTCACTAGGTACCAGGGTTTTGACCCATCCCCATATATATCACATCCAAAAATGGTCCTTGGACGAAGACATGGCGATTGGTGTTTTTTTTTCACCAAGTGGCGTAGACAACGCCAAAGGCTCCCTCGCCTAAGGCTTCACCAACGGAGTATTCCTGTCCAAAGGACAGCGCTTCTCTAGTTACCCGGCCTGGTAATCTAACAGATAGCTATTGAAAATGGCCATAGAAATAGTGAGTTTTCCCATTAAAAATGGTGATTTTCCATAGTTGTGTTAGTTTACCAGAGGGTATTGAAACCTTGTTGAAGAGGGACTTCAGCACCTGGAAGAAGTTTGTTTGGGAAACCAAACAGGACTCAACAGCTGAACATCAATACGCACATGGACCACAGATTTCGAAGCTAGCAACATGAGCAAGTGAATGCCCATACAGGATGGGGCCCCCAGTTATAAATTTGTTTATAACCCCATCTAAATATAGTTATTTGCGTATCATACACCAACTTGTTATTATAGTTATAAACCCACCAACTTAGCGTTCACGACCTTGGGCCCCACCCTGTACATGGCTGGTCATTTGTGGCAATTTCACCAGGAAATTGAGTGATGGGATGCCCTGGGCCCCAGCCATGTTTGATGACACGGCTGGAGGGTAGGTACCAAACCACCTGAAAAAATCCCATTGGAATACCATGAAACCTCCATGTTTGATGGTTAAAACATGTCAAAACGCCATAACAACCCTCTGGCAAACTAACATAATCTAACATAACTATCGAGAATCACCACTTTTAAGTTCGGTAAATCAACTGTAACTGGGTCATTTTCCAGTTCGCAAACGGTTAAATTGCCAAAGGCTATGTCCTATGGCCATGACATGCCATTACCATCTTCGGTCAACGGCGTCTGTGGCCAGATTGCTCCTCCAGAAGCCTCTTGCTGCTGACCCTCAATGGCGTTGGAATGGCGCTTCTGAAAGGATGAAAGGATGAAAACTTACTGGTGCGTTTTACGAAGGGAATGGATGGGTTGCTGGGGGTTGCTGGGATGATGACATTACTAGTGATGAAATGGATCAGTCCCGAAAATTCCCTGCGTTTAGCACCAGTAAGAAAAAATCATACCCACAAACGGAGTGGAATACTCGGACTCCAAAGATATCCAAACAGATGGTATACAGATGGTCATCATACAAACAACAAATGTTGTTTTCAAAAAATGCCCTCAAAGGATGGCACTGTACAACGAGAAGTGCAACACTTTGCCATGCATGGTGCGGCACGAAAACGGCAATCTTTCGTTAGTCGTCACCCTGTGAACCTGGGGGTGCTTCCCAGTAAGTGGTCAATATCCCACATATAACTGGGGTATCCATATTTATATATATATATATATAACATCATATAAGTGGTCCCATGAATCTAACTGGTTTATGTCATACTTCGGGGTGCAGTTCCATTAAGTAGGTTATAGTTCACCATAGTTGTAGGGGCCACATATTCCCATCTTATAGGGGACCCCAACTGCACCTCCAAGTATTGGATTTAGTCATAACTATCACAATAATACCCCATGAATCCAGCATTTTTCTTGGGCAAGTCACCATGTTCATCCATTTTCCATGGTAAGTCCCAGTTTTTCTATTGCCAACTTCGGATTTCTCGCTCCGGCACAGGTGATTGAACTAAGACCCAAACATTTCCTCATTTCGCTCGGGCGACGGCACGTCACTCAAGGAGTTGCCGGGAGCACCTGCCTGTGAGCGATTTCGCGATTTCGCTGTGGCCCTCCTTGTGGCTGATTACAGTACCTGCCTTGGCTGGTTGAATTTCCCAAGATTGTCATTTCCAATGGGAAATTCATGATAAATCATGATAAATCATGATAAATCATGATAAATCATTGGATTTTGGGAAGTATACTAGTATACTCTTACCCTAGTATTTAAGACATACCAGCTATGTTGCAAAGACACCACCATCTTCCCGCTCAGCTGCTGAAATAGACTCGGATTTCAAACCCAATGCCCCAGGGCACCTTCTTGCTATTTTGCTTGCCAGCAGACGTGCTAGCCTTCGTGCTAGCCTGCTTGCTGACCTGTTTCTTCAAATCCTCCTGCAGCGATGGCATTCGCTCCACTTCATGTTGCGAGAGGCAAGTTCCCATCCTGCACGGTTGGTGGGCTGTGGTTGGGACCAAGTTGTGCTACTTGATGGCATTTAAGGGCTGTAGGTTGGCAACCCTACACCTCCTAGCTGCTACTTGATGGCATTTTAGGACTGTAGGTTGGCAACCTACAGGGCGTCCTAGCTCAAAAAGGGCTGTGGTTGGGACCAAGTTGTGCTACTTGATGGCATTTAAGGGCTGTAGGTTGGCAACCCTACACCTCCTAGCTGCTACTTGATGGCATTTTAGGACTGTAGGTTGGCAACCTACAGGGCGTCCTAGCTCAAAAAGGGCTGTGGGTGGGGCCAAGTTGTGCTACTTGATGGCATTTAAGGGCTGTAGGTTGGCAACCCTACACCTCCTAGCTGCTACTTGATGGCATTTTAGGACTGTAGGTTGGCAACCTACAGGGCGTCCTAGCTCAAAAAGGGCTGTGGGTGGGGCCAAGTTGTGCTACTTGATGGCATTTAAGGGCTGTAGGTTGGCAACCCTACACCTCCTAGCTGCTACTTGATGGCATTTTAGGACTGTAGGTTGGCAACCTACAGGGCGTCCTAGCTCAAAAAGGGCTGTGGGTGGGGCCAAGTTGTGCTACTTGATGGCATTAAGGGCTGTGCTGCTACTTGATGGCATTTTAGGACTGTAGGTTGGCAACCTACAGGGCGTCCTAGCTCAAAAAGGGCTGTGGGTGGGACCAAGTTGTGCTACTTGATGGCATTTAAGGGCTTAGGTTGGCAACCCTACACCTGCCTACTGGCTATTGATGGCATTTTAGGACTGTAGGTTGGCAACCTACAGGGCGTCCTAGCTCAAAAAGGGCTGTGGGTGGGACCAAGTTGTGCTACTTGATGGCATTTAAGGGCTGTAGGTTGGCAACCCTACACCTCCTAGCTGCTACTTGATGGCATTTTAGGACTGTAGGTTGGCAACCTACAGGGCGTCCTAGCTCAAAAAGGGCTGTGGGTGGGGCCAAGTTGTGCTACTTGATGGCATTTAAGGGCTGTAGGTTGGCAACCTTACACCTCCTAGCTGCTACTTGATGGCATTTTAGGACTGTAGGTTGGCAACCTACAGGGCGTCCTAGCTCAAAAAGGGCTGTGGGTGGGGCCAAGTTGTGCTACTTGATGGCATTTAAGGGCTGTAGGTTGGCAACCCTACACCTCCTAGCTGCTACTTGATGGCATTTTAGGACTGTAGGTTGGCAACCTACAGGGCGTCCTAGCTCCTGTATTGGCATGAAAGGGCTGCGGGTGCGGCCAAGTTGTGCTACTTGATGGCATTTTAGGGCTGCAGGTTGGCAACCCTACACCTCCTAGCTGCTACTTGATGGCATTTTAGGACTGTAGGTTGGCAACCTACAGGGCGTCCTAGCTCCTGTATTGGCATAAAAGGGCTGTGGGTGGGGCCAAGTTGTGCAACTTGATGGCAGTTAAGGGCTGTAGGTTGGCAACCCTACACCTCCTAGCTGCTACTTGATGGCATTTTAAGGCTGTAGGTTGGCAACCTACAGGGCGTCCTAGCTCCAGTGTTGGCATAAAAGGCTGTGGGTGGGGCCAAGTTGTGCAACTTGATGGCATTTTAGGGCTGTAGGTTAGCAACCCTACACTTCCTAGCTGCTACTTGATGGCATTTTAGGACTGTAGGTTGGCAACCTACAGGACGCCCTAGCTCCTGTATTGGCATAAAAGGCTGTGGGTGGGGCCAAGTTGTGCTACTTGATGGCATTTTAGGGCTGTAGGTTGGCAACCCTACACCTCCTAGCTGATACTTGATGACATTTTAGGGCTGTAGGTTTTGCAACCTACAGCTGTGGGTGGGGCCAAGTCGTGCTACTTGATGGCATTTTAGGGCTGTAGGTTGGCAACCTACAGGGCTTCCTTGCTGCTGTATTGGCATAAAAGGCTGTGGGTGGGGCCAAGTTGTGCTACTTGATGGCATTTTAGGGCTGCAGGTTGGCAACCCTACAGGGCTTCCTTGCTTGTATTGACACAAAAGGCTGTGGGTGGGGCCAAGTTGTGCTACTTGATGGCATTTTAGGGCCGTAGGTTGGCAACCCTACAGAGCTTCCTAGCTCCTGTATTGGCAAAATGGGGCCAAGATGTGCTACTTCATGTCGTCTTAGGGCTGTAGGTTGGCAAGCTAAAGGGCTTCCTAGCTCATGTATTGGCATAAAGGCTGTGGGTGGGGCCAACTTGTGCTACTTGATGGCGTTTTAGGGCGGAGGGTTGGCAACCTACAGGGCTCCCCAGCTCCTGTATTGGAGCTGTCGGCGGGGCCAAGTTGTGCTACTGGATGGTATTTTAGAGCTGTAGGTTGGCAACCTACAGGGTGTCCTAGCTCCTGTAGTGGCATGGAAGGCTGTGGGTTGTGCTACTTGATGGCATTTTAGGGCGGTAGGTTGGCAACCTACAGGGCTTCCTAGCTCCTGTCCTGGCATAAATGGCTATGGGTGGGACCAAGCTGTGCTACTTGATGACATTTTCAGGCTGTAGGTTGGCATCCTACAGAGGCTGTGGGTGGGGCCGAGTTGTGCTACTTGATGGCATTTTAGGGCTGTAGGTTGGCAACCTACAGGGCTTCCTAGCTCCTGTATTGGCATAAAAGGGTGTGGATGGTGCCAAGTTGCTACTTGATGGCATTTTAGGGCTGTAGGTTTGCAACCTACAGGGCGTCCTAGCTCATGTATTGGCATAAATGGCTGTGGGTGGTGCCAAGTTGTGCAAGTTGTGCTACTTGATAGCATTTCAGGGCTGTAGGTTGGCAACCTACAGCGCTTCCTAGCTCATGTATTGGCATAAATGGCTGTGGGTGGGGCCAAGTTGTACTACTTGATAGCATTTTAGGGCTGTAGGTTGGCAACCTATGGGGCTTCCTAGCTCCTGTATTGGCATAAATGGGGCCAAGTTGTGCTACTTGATGGCGTTTTAGGGCGGAAGGTTGGCAACCTACGGGGCTTCCTAGCTCCTGTAGGCTTCCTAGCTCATGTATTGGCATAAATGGCTGTGGGTGGGGCCAAGTTGTGCTACTTGATGGCATTTTAGGGATGCATGTTGACAATCGACTTACAAAAATGCCATACTACTGGCTGGCTAAATCCTCCCATGTTTGGTTGGGTAAACCCCCAGCATTTGGGGCCTCAGCCCCAGCATGGAGGTGGCAGTGGCGGCTGCGGTTCCTAGGCTCTTCAGCATTTTGCCTCAGTAACATCTCTGGTTCATCCAAGAAAATGAACTGAAAAGGATGAACATGGGAAGTACCATCTGGTAAACTAACATAACTATGGAAAATCACCATGTTTAATGGGAAAACTCACTATAAATGGCCATTTTCAATAGCTATTTTGACATAACCAGAGGGTACAAATTTCATCGCCTGAAATAAATGAGTTCCCCCTGAAACATCATTTCGCCGCTGGGATGCAAGCCGGAGTAGCCACCTTCGGCACAACATGCGGCCAGCGAAGGTAAGATGCCAACTTAGAATGTTCTCCACAAGTTGTTGAATATGAAGCTTTTTGATGTGATTCTGTCCCAAAAACCTTGGAAAATTATTTCAATCCACATTTATGAAGCCAAGTGGTTTCGCAATTTATTGCCATCGCTTGGAAAATGCATCCCATGTTTTCTTCGCAACCCACGGTGGTTAAATCCACACCTGGCATCACCAGGAACTTCTCATCACCTCTGCAGCAAAGTCCCAAGGATCATCGCAGAAAATTTCAACGAGGACCTTCTGCAAAAGTTCTGCAAACACAGGGGGGATGCACAACAAATTCATTGAAATCTGAATGGATTGATGATAGCTTGGAATCTTAAAATCTATGAAAAAACGATAAAAAAACGAAGTGATGATGATCAACGATGGGATAACGATGGGGCTAACCTGGCTGACCTGGCGAATGAAACTCTCCAAATGTGACAACTCGCCGACCTGGCTGACCATCACGGCACAGCGATGCGGATTTCGGTAGTGAACAACCGATTTCAGCGGGTTGGGCTGGCGTGGCGCTTCGTGGCTGATACAGCTTGCAATCTTTCCCTGATTTTGCATGGTGTTGATATGTGTTTTTATCATATAATTCTATATATATATATATTTGTATATGTATGTGTATATATATATACATATGTATGTATATATGTATATATATACATATATACATATGTATGTATGTGTATATATATATATGTATATATATATATATATCTGAAGATTAGAGGCTGCAAAATGGCGTTGGCATTGATTTTGGAAAATTGCGGCTGACTTGTGATGGTGCTGATATTTGCTAGTGGTTGAGTGAGTGGAGTGGAGCGAATCCTTGCTTCACTTTCTGTCGTTGTTGGGAGATCTTGTCCAAGAAAGATTGATTTCTCAACAGCTGAAGCGGTCCACGCAGACGATAACTGCTTTGATCAAACTGTGGAAATGTGGTTTTGATGGGGCCTGTAATCCCAAGATATTCCAAGCCCTTGCGGATTGCACCCATTGATAGCCATACTTCATCTCCTGGATTTCGTCCAGGGGGAGAAATCTGTCGAGTTTTTCCATGCTTCGTTCCATTCCTCTTACATCGAGGCATTCCAATATGGACAGTCCGCGTGTAGATGTTTCTCCTGTCTGAGGAGTTCCGAAAGAGAGATGATCTGTGGATTTGATGATTGCCCTCACGCTTCTATCTACGTATCCTTGGGATGTATACTTATACGCATATACACATAGAACTACATATATATATATATACGTGTATATTGTGAATCTCAGACCCTTGAGATTGGATTCCAAGTTACCTGCAAAGACCCTGCTCTGCTGTTTTGTTCCGCAACCTCCGTGGCTCCTCTCCCTCCCACCACTGTGGGAATGAAATGGCAAGGCCGAGCATTGGAACATGCGAGAACGGCGAAGCAGCATGATGGACCAAAAGGCACAAACTAGGTGAGTTTGACACTCCTCTTTATTGACTGCAAACCTTTCCTTCCACAAAGAACGTTGTTGTGCCAGTCCAAAATTGCTCCTGCCTTTGGTATGCATTTGTGCCGACCCAGAAATCCTTGTCCAACCTATTATCACCAAAATTAGTTACCCTCTGGGCACTAAGACATCTGATATCCACAGGACAATCAGCCAACCCAATAGGTGTGAACTTGACATTTCGTGGTCGTCTATGAACTCTAATCAACTCTGACTTGGATCCCCAGGTCCAAAAATCATGCAACAACGGATCTTGTTTGGATATGGAACTATACATGCATGGAGCTGCTGTCGGAGAAACTTTGTCTTCAGTCTGGTGTGCAGACGAATGGCTCTTGACCCATTCAATCCGCTGACGACGGTCTAATCTCTCCTTGAGGACATGATTCTCATCCCTCAGACAGTATTTTCCAGATTTCAAACACTCTCGAAGCACTTGTGAATCCATTGTTTTCGTCAGGCAATCTGACAGCATGGCTTGTGACGACACCCAGCGTGCCAAACAGTTCTCCTGCAAACGTTCCCTTATCAACAAACATTCGATAGTCGTGCGATGCTCTGAACACTGAGGAATTGCTGTACGAGTCAACAAGTCATACAAGCTTCTACAGTCAGTAACTACCGCAGATTTCTTTTCATGCTGGAGAAGCTTTTCTGGTTCACGCCAGTTGCATAGAGGATTTTTCATCCATGCCCAAAGAACTCTGATCCACAGAAGCCTGTCAATGGAATTACACAATGCTGCTGCCTCTGCCCCTAGCGTACTTCTCACCACCCTGGGAATCTTTTTACTGGTCCAAGCAACCGGAGCTACCACGGTCCTACGATTCTCTATGAGCTCAGGTGTAGTGGCAAAGATAAGGGTTCCCTGGTGGGCATTATTCTGTTTGTTTGAGAGAAAGGACGCATCTGAAAAGGCACAGTAACTCACCTCGTTTGGGGCAATGGGCAAAACCATAAGTGACACTTTGTGTTGTTTGGCCTCCATCAGTACCTTGTTGGCTAACAGCAGTTCATTGACTGTGGCCTTGACGACTGATGATTGCAACTCACCAACTTTCGCTGAAATGTCTGGTCTCGTGTGGACCGCTGCATACTGTAGAGCTCCTATGAGGCTGCGCAGAGAGCTTCTCTCTTCGCTGGTCACTTCTGCATTTGGTTGCAGCCGTCTTGCTTTCGGAACTGAGATAGGAGATATTTTGTCAATGTATTCAACCTGGTCATACTCAATGCTACAGTCATCCCACTGCTTGAAATGGATCCCTGTGTACTTGAATTCTCCTTTCTCAAAAGCCCCAAATTTAAAACGGTTCTCTACCCTACGCAGCATGTCATGAAACTTTTTGTCCCCACCGGCAATGCCATCATCGACATGTATGCCCAAAGCTCCATGGCATTTCATGCCACCTGCTCCATCAGTGGAATACAGACCAAACACGCATGGGTCCAACGGGCATTGGGTACATCCTTGTTTGATCAATTCATCCCTAAACTCACAGTACCACAAATAGGGTGCGTCGATACGCCCATATGCCCCTCCATCCAGGGCACACTGATCTCCTGGACCCATCTGCAATGCCTCCCTCAGTTCAGGAGTTGGATGAATTCCCAATTCCCTACCATCACCCCGACCATGCAAGAAAGCTGTACTGACGTCGAAGGAAATTAGTTGCCATTGGTTTGAGGCCACTGTTTGAAGCACAGCCATCCTACCATCCTTTGTCAAAGTAGGAGCATCATTACTGACTACATCAATGTCTGGGTCCTCATAGCCAATGATAACCAATCGTGCTTTGGCTCTTTGACCATCTTTGGAGAGCTCAGAAGGAGCTTCAGTGCCAGCTGCATCTTTCCAATTCAGAATCCACCTGCACCTCATGAGGGCATGATCTGGAATCCTACCCTTTGATACCTTCCTGACGGTTTTGTGATGTAGCCAGGCTCCAATCTCCTTGTGCTTTGCCGCCGCAAACAAACGTTGTTCGTGCTCTCCAAGCTCTTTGAGCTTGACTTCGACGCGCTTCTTTCTCATTTCTGAAGCTATGAAAGCAATTTCTTCATTTGATTGTGGTGGTTCTTCCGAATCCCAAAACTTTTCCAAATCCCTTTCAGGGGTAATATCTATCTCCCAACATTTGTCTTCCCCTCCAAAATCCCCCTCAAAAACATCCCCAAACATGGCATCCTCCTCGGATAGTTCACCGGGTACAGCTTCGGGTATTGGAGCCGTTAAGGGATCTGGTTCCACATCAACAACTGATTTGGGAACTTCTTGTGGGTCCCCTTCTTCTTCTGAAATTGCAGGGCCAGACTCGGACGCAGAGCTCGGAATTTGTTCAGGTTCCGGAAGACTGTTGGTTTCAGGCATTCCCTCATCCCCCAAGACTTCATCCACACCAGGCAACTCATCACCTAGATCAAAGAAATCATCATGTTGGGACCTCTTCAACCAATCGACTGTAGGGTGCCTGGCTTCTTCTGTGCTTTGCACAGCCTTCCATTCCCTGAAAGACGCCGCCCGCAATTGTTCTGGACTTGCCCTGATCAAACGATTTGCATGTGTAAGCCAGATTACTTTGGAACTTTCGACAACAGCTACTCTAGCAGGTCCATGCCACTTTCCTCTCTCTCTCCTCATGTTACCCCCAACCTTTCTCCAATACAAGACCCAATCCCCTACTTCATAAGGATCTCTCAAGGGGCGACTTCTTCGCAGCAAAGCCCTACGTAAGGAACTGCTGTTGTCAGCTTCTACAAAGGCTTTTCTGGCTGAACATCGGAGATCGAGGGTTTTCCGAAATTTGTCACTTTCATGTCCCTCAGCCGTGGCCAAAACGTGGCTAGAGGCATTTTCGCCGGAAATGATCGATGCAGGCAACCGTCGAGCAAAACCAAGAACAGCCTGTTCGGGTGTATAACCCTTGATTCTTGACATGGTGTTCTTAGCATTGAAGACTTGTCGAAGAGCTCGACTGAAGTCTGCATTATCCTTAATGGGAACTTCGGCGTTCATCCTATCCAGCATTTTCTTGACTACATGGCCATGGGACTCGACCCTCCCCAATTGCCAATGAGAATCAGCTGCAGTCATTTTCAACTCGATATCCTCACTCTGCATCCTTGACAACCATGGGGTCCCCGTATACTCAGTTGCTGGATCAAGATAAATTTGACGGGGTGGTCCTGCCCAGGAAAGCCATAGTTCTTCAAAGCATTTGATTTGTGATTCAGCATCATCAGCACATAAACGACCCAAATGAAACAGTGTTCCCTCATCCAACGCATGAAAGAAACTGAACGCCGTCCCCTGGTCATTCTTCCAAACAGCTTTATCCATCCCAACCACCTCATTAAACCCCAAATTGGAATGAATAGCTGAAGGTTTTGACAGAGAGAACCCTTGTCGTGTTTCACTGCAGGCATCGCATTGAAATTCTAGTGCCCCTGCAATGATGTGTGGGTCGGCATGTGTGTCCTTTAAGAACCTGGCAAAACGGCTTGGATCAGGATGACCCATCCTGCGATGAACCCGACGAAGCCATTCTTTTTCATCTCTGGTAAGTTCAAGAAACTTGGGTCCATGTGAAGCAATCCCCTTTGGTGGATACCCATCCTTATACTGATCCCCAATATCCCCTGAATCTAACCCCTTGGACTTTTCAGTTTTGGCTTCAGTCGAGACCTCACCTCCTTCGGGACAGTGTCGTTTTTCACTGTCAGGTTCCAGGTTCACACCGGGACGTTTGAGACTAACCGGCTGATCATCATCATCTCTCTTTTCTGGTTCCTGTGCTGATGATTCTGCACCTGTTGCTTGAGTGGAACTTGATGAACCCTTTTTCTTTCCAAAAACAGTCAAACAAAGCTTTGCTGGTCTGGATCTCAAGTTCCTCTTAGTTTTTGGCAACTTCAACCATTCTTCAGGTTCACCAATTTCTTCCACTTCCCCGGTGTTTCGATGCATGATGAACGTGTGACGCAACGGAACTTCATGATCATCATATGATCCTTTTGGAACACGGAATCGATCTGTTCCCCGACAAATCTCAGCCGCTGTCACTTCAAAGGTGGAACAAAGCTTTTGGGCATCCCCAAACAAAATTTCCCCATTACCCAAAATCACAGTACCAGCTCTAGGGGCCCTCAACTGTATCCTACGAAAAACATCCTCCAAGAACTTCTTTCGGGGGGCCTTTCGGGTTAGATCACCACTTCCTTCCACCTCTGTCGTGGTCACTCGCTTCAATCTGCATCGCCGCGCTTTGATCTCGCCGGCAAAAGCCAATTGCTCTTGGGATACCGATGGTTCCAAACACAACTCAGACAACTCTAAAGGAAGTTCCCCAGAAACACGACTCCTCAACAAATACCAACAAACGTTCTTTGCAAAACCGTTTGAATACCTTGCAGCATACTCTGACAAATTGACCCATCTCCCAAGATATTTGACTTTGCCCTCAATTGGTTGGTGATTGTGTCGCTGCTTGCAGTATCTCGAGTCCAAGATTTCATGGAGCTCTCGTGAAGTCGTGTGCGCTGCACTCCGTTTTCGAAGAAAATTGTTCCCTTTTGGTACCTTGAGTCTTCCTACTTCACACATGTCAAACTCTGCCCGCAAAGTACCCCGAACAATCTCTTCCATTATCTTCTGATCAAACACCTCTGAACCCTGTGGTTGCTCCATGTGGAAATGCCTACCATGAACTACTTGATACTCATAGACCTCATCACAGAGTTTAAGATGTGTCTGTTCTGCTTTGCGACCATGTAGTATTCGATCTCGAGCTGCAATGCTCCGACACATGTTCAAGCGACTGAAGTTTCCCCAGAGCTTGCACTCCGGTGACATCCAGACATCACGAGGGCATTCTTCCAGCAAAATTTTCCAAAGCGCTTCTTGGCCTTGGACTGTAGACAAGTCTCCGTCCTTTAAGGTGAACCTTCGTGCTCTTAAACCCATCTTAGAAGCCACACTGGTAAGGTTGGAATTTTCCCCGCAGTAAACTTCAAGAAAGTCCAGCTTGCATGTTTTGGACATTGACTTTCTGCGCAATGGATTGACTTCCCACGCCAGTGCCAGCATCGCATCCAGGTTATCTTCAATCTCAATGGACAACTGATCTAACTTCTTCTGGCATTCTGCCACAACGTTTTGGGAAGAAGTGGACACACTGTCACCTGGTGAACTGGAATGAGATGCTGGAGTCACTGATTCAGGACCACTCAGGACTCGTTCGACTTCTTGATCATCTCGAGTTCGCGCTGAAGGATCGCAATCTTGGTCATCAGCTGCGTCTCTCGATCGACATCTCGAGACACCATCATTTCGTTCCCCTTGCCCTCTGGACTCAGAGCTCTCTTCGTGGTTGCTGGCAAATCGAACTCGGGATCCATGAGCTCCCATCCCACACCTGACACTTCGTGATGCCATGGCGGTACACTCATGTCCATAGGCGGTGACGCCTTGGCCTTTGTCTTCGGCAAGGGCATCACTGGGTCCTGGCTTTCTCCCATTTGCATCGCTCTGGTGTAGTTCTGGTAACTCAGGGCCCAGGCTGACGTCAAGTGAGAGTGATTCATCATGTACATCCTGTACTTCACATCCTTGTCGTAGACCTTCCGAAAAGTCTCTCCGGCATACTTTCCTTCCGGGAACATTTGCTCTCCGCATTGACTCAGAGTGGAGATCCCTTGAGGTCGGCGCATCTGAGGACGAAGAGGGTTGGCATAGTTCAGATTTCCATCCTCCGGTATCTGAAGCTCTTTGTCCAGGCGCGACGTCGATGATGCCCCCGTCTGGGAATGGATGCCCTTGGAGTACGCCATGGTGAACGTTTCGAGAGCGATCTTGAGCGAATTGTTGAGCTCGATGGTGAGCCACTTCAGCTGCTGCACTCACATTGATTTCATCTGCTGCTGCTGACATGTTTGTGTTGCATGTATCTTTCATGTTCATTTCATTACTCACATATGTCACGACTTCACAGCTGCCCGCGACCTGACGTTTTCCGTCAGATTTTGCAAACACTTTCAAAACTTCCGACAGTTCCACTGTGAAAAGACCTTTGGCGTTTACTTGCAATGGAACCTTGCAGCCTTGCTGATGAAAAACCAATTCACTGTTTCGTGAGGAGACGTCGGCTGATGTTGCTTTGAGGAAAGCATTTGACAACAAAAAGGGAGTATCTCCTGAAACCACTTCCAAACGCATCCAACAACCACCAAAAGGAATGTACAACGCACCAACACTTGACAAAGTTGCATTGTTTCCAAACCGAAAAACCGTATCCGACTTTCCCCATTGAACCCGACTCTGCACGTTTGCCGGAAGACTGGTAATCAACTTTTTCACCTTGCGTTGTCCAATCACTGACTTGCTTGCTCCAGTGTCAATTATTCCTGGGCAACCTACCTCGGCACTCAAAATTGTTTCGCTGTTTTCAGTCCTGCTGACACCAAGAACCCTCCGTAGGCGGTTACTCAAAATTGAAGTATCCAGGGATTGGGCAACGTCAAGACGACCAGAAACCTTGTGATAAGATTCCGTCATAAAAATGAATTCTTCATTAACTGTTGGATACCCATTTTGGATTTCCAAATGCTCAAATGGTGGGAGTCTCCAATGGCCCAGATTTCGGTCCTTGTTGCCATAGATCAGTTCGTTCAAGGAGAGCTGCACGTTGGTGTCGGGAGGATCCATCACGATCTCCTCAGCGCAGCTTCCACTCTGGACTTCGAAGGCCACATTCACCTCCGCATTGGTCGGATTGGAGGAGCTTGACTTCTTGGGGCATTCCCATTTCCAGTGTCCCTTCTGCCCGCACAGCCTGCAGTGCGATGAAGCTATGCGATCGGCCAACGACTGTCGGCGTTTGCCTCCAGACTTGCCACCAAAGCCCTTCTTGAAGGTCTTGCCACGACCCTTCGCAGGCCAGAAGCCTCTTGACTTTAATTTGTCCCTCAAACGGCCACGTGCCTCTGAGTAGGCTGAGAAACAAAGACTAAGGTCAGGGGATTCTTGACAGACCTCCACCAGCTGTTCCTCAAAGTCCTGAATGACTTGTGCGTCCTCATCCCCATTCTCGGCCATGGCCTGGAGAATCTGCTCTTCATCCATGTACTCTTCTTCCATCGCCACATTGATCTCATCAGCTTCATCATCCACGTAGTTCACTGGGTAAACCCGTTTCTTGGTTTCACCTGTGCTACCTGCTCCCAAAATGCGGGTATGCAAGGAACGCATGGATTGTTCGATCTTCTCAGCAGCCAATTTGCCTTGAGTCATCACGATCACCTTCCGTTTGTCATCTACAACCAGAGCACTTTGCCTCAGCAAAATGAATGCCTTCATGTCTTTGACTTGCACTTCACCAAGGTCTTGAAAGGCCCCGTTCAAACGGTTCACATAGCTCATGACTGTCTCATCATTCCGTTGCACTATGCGATACAGAGCTTTCTCAAATTTTTCATACGTTTGCAACTCTGCTGACTCCTCCCAGGTAGCTACTGCTGACAACAGCACATCAATGCCAGTATCGGGATCAGCCAGTTTGGCCGTATCGGCCGCTTTGATTTGGGCCCAGGCTGTCCCTTTCATCAGCATTGCCAGTCGAGGTCCAAGCATTGGCTTGTCCCGAGCTGGGCAAATGCCGTGCAAGAACCTGACCTTGTCCACATACTCCCTAGGATCATCACAGGCCGGATCAAAAGAAGGCAAAATTGACCAGATTGAGTTCGACCTCTCATCAGTCGAAACCGCTGGCGAGGCAGCAGCACTTTCCTGCTGTCTAGACATGGCTGCACTCCACGCTCACTGCCACTTGTTGGCTGTGAAGAGATGGCACTACAAAAGTTGTGTGTTTCCTGCAACTCAAATTAAATGCAGAAGAGAGAATTGATCAAACCTAAGGAAACCCCGTTCCTAAACCAGTGTTGAGTAATTACCTTTCTCGGACGCCTCCGCAGAGGCTCCGCTACCAATGTGAATCTCAGACCCTTGAGATTGGATTCCAAGTTACCTGCAAAGACCCTGCTCTGCTGTTTTGTTCCGCAACCTCCGTGGCTCCTCTCCCTCCCACCACTGTGGGAATGAAATGGCAAGGCCGAGCATTGGAACATGCGAGAACGGCGAAGCAGCATGATGGACCAAAAGGCACAAACTAGGTGAGTTTGACAGTATATATATATATATATATGTATGTATACGTTGTAGACTATGTTTTGCATTCATGTTTATTGTTCATGCACATTGTCTTCCTTTGCTTGCAATGATAAAATACTTGCCTGCTCCATACCATCAATCCTGGAGAGAGAGCGAGCGAGCGCAGCACTTTTTTTTCAAAAGTGACCCATCTTGACTCACTAGAATTCACTAGACCTAGCGCTACCGGAACCGCTTTTCAACGCTTCCCCCCGTCTGTACAAAGGTCCCGAGAAGTTCTTCCTCGGGCACAAAACATTAGCTGTGCCGCTGTGCACTGTTGGCATCGTCAGGTCAGGAGAAGTTCGTGTCATCTAACTCCTGACACTAATCTGTTTGCTGCAAAGTCATGAAAAAAAAGGAGCAACTTCTTGCTTGAACACTGTGGCAAAACCCAAAGACGTAAATTTCTTCGTGACTTGACAGGACACGCCATAGTAGTGAAGCTTTGGAAAGTTCAGTGTAAAATGTGAAGCCATGGAAAAGTTTTGCAATAGATATTGTGACGATAAATATCGATTTGAGATGATTTGAGCACCGTTTATGTCCCCTGTAGCTGCTGTAGCTGCTTTCAACTCCTCAGCCTTCGTCGTCTGACCTCAACATCATCACCATCAACATCACCATCAACATCACCATCATTCTTAGTTTTGTTACTTATCATTTGCTTATGATATGTCATGATCATCATTCTTAGTACTGTATGAACCCAAACATTCTTAGCTATTATCATGGTTTCACACAGGGACGGCTTTTTGAGGGTCTCCACCCCCTAAGCCATGTAATACCACTTTGACAAGTTTTTTGCACGTCGTCTTCTGCCAGGTCCGCTACTCAGGGGCTCGGCAGCAGGGAAGTGTTTGATGAATTTTTGGTTATGTTTGGCTAAATTTTGGCCCATGTGTTTTGATAGGGTTTCTTTGAATCAATATGTTCTGCTGGTCGCTTCTTGAATTGGCTGGAGGTTTTTGGCCGCGATGCCAGTATTGGCATAAAAATGTCCATTTTTCTGTGTGTAGCTAAAAGGTTTTTAGCTGCGCGTTTGACATCTGCAGGGATAGTATCAGCCCAAGATTTGATCTGGTTGCGTTAAGAGCTGATACCTGATGAGTATTTTTCCATTTTTAAGAGCGTGCCAGTGATAGTCTTGACGAAATCCCTTGCTTTTTTCGCAAGCTCATGGTGGGCTATAGCACACATGTTGTGTGGCAAGCGGGTCCTTTTCGTTGAAGAGGCTTTCGATTTTCCTTTTATCATATTTTTTGCGCCTGTGCCCAAATTTGTGGTATTGTGACCCTTGGGACCCCAGGAATGGTCCTGGTGTAGGCATTTCTCTTGCCAATGGCTTGGCAGTACTAGCGTTTTTTCAGTCTCAAATTTGTTCTCAGGTCGATGATTGATCTGGAAAAATAGACACGTGATATTGGCATGATTGCCTTGTTCGCAGTACGTATTTTATTCACAAAGGTATTTTTTTTTTCTTAGTTATCTAGTTTACGTTGATGGTCTTCACCATTGGATCCTTCTTTGCAGGTGTGGCTGGCATGTTTAAGCGCGCTATCCCAGAAAAAGTTTCGAGCTTCTTCTCTGAATGAGCCTTGGTAATTCTAGCAAGAGTTGTGAACTGTAATGCTGTCCTTCAGCAAAGGTTGTCACCCCGACATGTGATCAGTTGCAATCTTCCTTCTGCAAGATTTCGCCTTGGTTTTTTCCTGATTTTGCGGCGGCATTTTTAAAGCTATGCATTGTGGTCATGGCACTGCGCCTCCTCCACCGCCTCCACGTGCTGAATTTCATCAGGCTGCGCATCCCGGTTTTCCTTTGCAGCAGATGAATCAGATGAGTGGTGGGTACTTTCTTCCTCAGCACATGATGGTCCCTCCTGGGGTTTGGGCACCTAGCCATGGAATGCCAGTTACGCACCGTTCACATGAGCGGTCGCGGTCACCCAGAGGATCGCATGATGAGGTGGCTTCCTTGCTTTCTCGGCTTCCCCCTGCTGAGTTCAAGAAGGTTTTCAATGATTTGCCGGCATCTCTTCGAAGCGTAGCCTTTGATGCTCCTGATGGCATCATCACGGACGTTAAGTCCATCTCTGACAAAGAGTCTCGCATGGAGATGTGTCGAAAAATCAACAATCTTCGTCGAGAGAGAATCCAAGCTCTCGCGACACCCCAGGCAGCCCCTTTTTATGCCGAGGATGGCATGAAGATTGTACCTATGAGCCGATTGACTGAGCGGCATTTCTGGGATGTCTTCCATAGGATCCCGTTGAATACCACGGATCCAGTCAAATGGAAGAGCATTCTCAAATATTTGGATGCATGCCCTGAAAAACCACGTTCATCACCCAACGCTCGTGATATTGAGTGGGCAACCCCAGATCTGCCCTTTGAGGCTGCTCCAGGTGCTGCTTCGCCTCCCCGAGGTTCCCTGGATGCATTGAGGGCCATGGCTGTGGACTCACCCGCTCAGAAAAAGGAGGATACTACCTCCCCAGATTTCCATGACTGGGTGAAACGGCGGGTCGACACAGACACTGCCAGCCTCACTATGGCCAATTTTGAGTTGGATACCAAGGCGCACCGCATTGCTGGGCGTAAGACCCCGGCCGCCAAGGCCTTGTTGGCCCTGTCGCCCTTGGAAGCCATGAGTGATCTATACCAGACAGTCTTCCGCATTTATTTGCGAAAGCTGGAGCGAATCATGCCGAAGCTCGGCGCAAAAACAAAAGAGAACACATGCCTCAACAAGCTCTTGGATGCTTTGAATGTCAGCCCTGACGAGAAAGTTCCGATCCTTCTGGCTCGGCTTCGCGCCCTTGACATTGTGCGAAGGCCTTCCTGAGTTGAGCTATTTTCTGCTGATCCTGACCTGAGTGCTGCCCTGAAAGCTGCCCTTGATGTTGTTTTGTTGTTGCGTTTTCGTTTGTTTTTAGTCTCACGCCGTTCTTGGGAGGACCAATTTCTGCTGATTAGCCTGGCAGGGAGTCTTTGGCTGATGTTGTTACAGGTTTTGCCTTCAAGGAGAAATGTGCGTTTATTGAAGCTCATTGGCTCTGACCCGTGGGCCCATGGATGGCAACTTCTCCATCAGTCACCATGCCTTTATATTATTTTTCCTTATCCTTTAAGATGTTCTCGTTTTGGGCCCTTGTTTTACATTGGTGAAACAACGAGCTTTCGGCGGCGTATGGTGGAACACCTCCTTCGCCTCATTGCTCAAGATGGTGCGACCCAGCAACCGTTTTACCAGGTTGTTCGGCACAACTGCTGTCAAGGGACACAGTTGCTTGCCGCCCTGAGTTTTTTGATGATGTTGCCGGTGCATCTCGCTCCCGTGGATACTGGCGAGCGGCTTTTGGCTGAAACCGCCCTTTGCCATAGTCTGGGCACTTTGAATCCGCCGACGGTGTATAGTTTGCTTCCAAAAACAAAGCAGCGGCAAGTGCAGGGTCTTCGTATCTTTGATTCTTTTCGCTCTTTGTGTAGGCTCCGCCCTTCTCAACCTGCTGCAGGGGAAATGTCTTTATCCTCTTCTGTGGGTCTTATTCGGAAAGAGTGGCGTGATGGTCTTCAAAAAATTGCTGCCGCGCTGGCTGGGCGGCGTTTTGAAAAGTCAAACGCTGCCGCTCTCGCGGCATGGAATTTGAGTCCCGGTGCCTGGGCTTATGTGGCTCGCCGACTTGACCAATTTGAAACAGGTTGGCGGCGAAAGCGGGGCCTTCATCTTTTAGGTATCATCTCCAAGAAACGGAGAGACCTTTGCCCTTTTGTGTCATCTGTTGCGGCGTCTGTCCCCTGGATGGGCTCCACATCGGCACTGCGCATTTTGCGCGGTGAAATTCGTGAATTACTTTCCGCATGGAGACGGAAGGGGCACTGGGTTCCCATAGCAAGGCATGCAAAGTGCTTTGTTTCGTGGACTGCTCC